ACTCTCGCGGGAATATCTCAACAACGGAGCGAGGTTAAGTTTCACTTTCAATTGCATGATATAGCCCAGCGCAACGCCTTCATCACATATGTTGCCACTTGTTTGTACCATTTTCAGGCGATTTGTAATCTGTTCTAGAAAAACGATGTGGTTTTTAATATTTGTGGAGTTAGGTGGTCCACGAGTGTTTTTTTATTGGTTAAGTGGTCCTTGGTATGAAAAAGTTTGAGAAACCATGCGGTAGATGAACATAGACTGATCATACAGCACCGGGTGATTCACTACCGCTATAATGAATTTTCCCTCCATTTTTTTGAATATGAGGAAATGACCTGCGTAGTCTCTCCCAGCATACACGCGGTTTGATTGGCTAGCACTTGTACTGGCAGATTTGCATAAACGGGATTTCATTGGCTGACACTTCTGCCGAGGCGCCAAAAGTTGAACATTGCTCAACCTTTGAAGCCAGCAACGCTCCACGTCGCTTCCCAAAATGCAGTTCGGCTAAAAGTGACGTCACCCCATTCAAAGTGAATGGGCAGAAGCGTTGTAAGCTTCAACGCACGCCGCTGTGTGGACGGGCCGTCACAGTTTAGGAACTGGGGTAGTTACTATAGTAACGCAGTGTAGGCGGAGCCGTGACGTCATCTTCAATGAGAGCCCCAGAAAAACAACACAGCCGTTAGCTCTTAGCACTCAGAGCTCACAGCTCTTCATATCTGTTCAGAAACTAGACAAAAGTTAAACAAGTACAAACCACAGACTGCCTGTGTCATGGCGAATACAGTCGCTGGTTTATTTATGTCTGTAGGCCGTTGTTGTGAGTGTGGACGGTCGGAGCATATATAACGTTAGCTTAGCCAAGCTCCATTTAGAAAACACGCATGCCGTCTGTCTGCAGACTTGTCAAAGCATTAATTCATGGTTTTTACTAACCGGTATCAGTATGTTGTTACTTCGGCATCATTTTGAAACGTGTATTACAATTAAATCACGGTCAAATATGTTCATCTTGTTGTAGTTGTAGCCCCCTTGCCAGCGATTCTCTCTCTAGTTTAGCATACTCAGCCCGACTCAGCCTGGTTGTTCCTGGCCCTAGAACCACGATTTTATGGGGCCAGAAAAACTGTGAATTAGGACCTGCTAGCCGGTACTAGGCCAAGTGGAAACGCAACCAAAAACGGAACCCGCACGGCTCGGCACGCTTAAAGCGAGCTACCCTCTGCAGTGGAAACGCGCCATATGTTAACTATCTAAATACTCAGAGTCCTTTACCTCACCTGAGCTGAGGTGATCCCGAGCTTGAATGACACACAGAGACCAATCAAGGGCTTTGATTTATGATCCGTGGCCATGTCGGCAGGCCACATCATGTAGACAGCCAGTCACCCTGTGTGAGGCAGACCACATCATGTAGACAGCCAGTCACCCTGTGTGAGGCAGACCCACATCATGTAGACAGCCAGTCACCCTGTGTGAGGCAGGCCACATCATGTAGACAGCCAGTCACCCTGTGTGAGGCAGGCCACATCATGTAGACAGCCAGTCACCCTGTGTGAGGCAGACCACATCATGTAGACAGCCAGTCACCCTGTGTGAGGCAGGCCACATCATGTAGACAGCCAGTCACCCTGTGTGAGGCAGACCACATCATGTAGACAACCAGTCACCCTGTGTGAGGCAGACCACATCATGTAGACAACCAGTCACCCTGTGTGAGGCAGGCCACATCATGTAGACAGCCAGTCACCCTGTGTGAGGCAGACCACATCATGTAGACAACCAGTCACCTTGTGTGAGGCAGACCACATCATGTAGACAGCCAGTCACCTTGTGTGAGGCAGACCACATCATGTAGACAACCAGTCACCCTGTGTGAGGCAGGCCACATCAAGTAGACAGCCAGTCACCCTGTGTGAGGCAGACCACATCATGTAGACAGCCAGTCACTCTGTGTGAGGCAGACCACATCATGTAGACAGCCAGTCACCCTGTGTGAGGCAGACCACATCATGTAGACAGCCAGTCACCCTGTGTGAGGCAGACCACATCATGTAGACAGCCAGTCACTCTGTGTGAGGCAGACCACATCATGTAGACAGCCAGTCACCCTGTGTGAGGCAGACCACATCATGTAGACAGCCAGTCACCCTGTGTGAGGCAGACCACATCATGTAGACAGCCAGTCACCCTCTGTGAGGCAGACCACATCATGTAGACAGCCAGTCACCCTGTGTGAGGCAGGCCACATCATGTAGACAGCCAGTCACCCTGTGTGAGGCAGACCACATCATGTAGACAGCCAGTCACCCTGTGTGAGGCAGACCACATCATGTAGACAACCAGTCACCCTGTGTGAGGCAGACCACATCATGTAGACAGCCAGTCACCCTGTGTGAGGCAGACCACATCATGTAGACAGCCAGTCACCCTGTGTGAGGCAGACCACATCATGTAGACAGCCAGTCACCCTGTGTGAGGCAGACCACATCATGTAGACAGCCAGTCACCCTGTGTGAGGCAGACCACTTCATGTAGACAGCCAGTCACCTTGTGTGAGGCAGACCACATCATGTAGACAGCCAGTCACCCTGTGTGAGGTAGACCACATCATGTAGACAACCAGTCACCCTGTGTGAGGCAGGCCACATCATGTAGACAGCCAGTCACCCTGTGTGAGGCAGACCACATCATGTAGACAGCCAGTCACCCTGTGTGAGGCAGACCACATCATGTAGACAACCAGTCACCCTGTGTGAGGCAGACCACATCATGTAGACAGCCAGTCACCCTGTGTGAGGCAGACCACATCATGTAGACAGCCAGTCACCCTGTGTGAGGCAGACCACATCATGTAGACAGCCAGTCACCCTGTGTGAGGCAGACCACATCATGTAGACAACCAGTCACCCTGTGTGAGGCAGACCACATCATGTAGACAGCCAGTCACCCTGTGTGAGGCAGACCACATCATGTAGACAGCCAGTCACCCTGTGTGAGGCAGACCACATCATGTAGACAGCCTGTCACCCTGTGTGAGGCAGACCACATCATGTAGACAGCCAGTCACCCTGTGTGAGGCAGGCCACATCATGTAGACAGCCAGTCACCCTGTGTGAGGCAGACCACATCATGTAGACAGCCAGTCACCCTGTGTGAGGCAGACCACATCATGTAGACAGCCAGTCACCCTGTGTGAGGCAGGCCACATCATGTAGACAGCCAGTCACACTGTGTGAGGCAGACCACATCATGTAGACAGCCAGTCACCTTGTGTGAGGCAGACCACATCATGTAGACAGCCAGTCACCCTGTGTGAGGCAGGCCACATCATGTAGACAGCCAGTCACCCTGTGTGAGGCAGACCACATCATGTAGACAGCCAGTCACCCTGTGTGAGGCAGACCACATCATGTAGACAGCCAGTCACCCTGTGTGAGGCAGACCACATCATGTAGACAGCCAGTCACCCTGTGTGAGGCAGACCACATCATGTAGACAACCAGTCACCCTGTGTGAGGCAGACCACATCATGTAGACAGCCAGTCACCTTGTGTGAGGCAGACCACATCATGTAGACAGCCAGTCACCTTGTGTGAGGCAGACCACATCATGTAGACAGCCAGTCACCCTGTGTGAGGCAGACCACATCATGTAGACAGCCAGTCACCCTGTGTGAGGCAGGCCACATCATGTAGACAGCCAGTCACCTTGTGTGAGGCAGACCACATCATGTAGACAGCCAGTCACCCTGTGTGAGGCAGGCCACTTAACAGGCCAGGCCATCGGGAAACCCCCCAGTCCTCCCGATGGCCATTCCGGGACTGGGTACAGGAGGCGTAGAGCGAGGGATCATTGTCCACAAGTTAATCGATCGCAGATGGCATCGTGGACGCGGACGAATAAAAAAAAAGAAGAAAAAACCTACATGTAAATAAAATGGGTCGCAAAATATACTTGGGCGGCCGTTAATATACCTGGGCAGCCCGCCCAAGTATAGTCTATGTGTGGGAAACCCTGCAACACACAGCTGATCAACACAACAAATATACATTTTAAATAACACTTCTGAATACAGTATATGTGTATATGGCTCGAGAAGCCAACACAGATAAGGAAATATATATTATGATGTGATTGATGGTGTGATATGATGTGATTGATGGTGTGATATGATGTGATGAATGATAAGTGCGACACGTCAGCATCTGCACTCACAGTCTCGTGGACTGAACGTAATACTCTGAGTTAATTTCCTGCGGTTACTTATGTTTTCGCAGATATTTAAGTAAGTTTCGCAAATGTAATAATAGTCAGATTGCTCTGAAGATGGGAGGTGATATTCTATTAATGTTCACACAGTCGGTGATTTTTGGACCTCTTCCCTGCACACAGCAGTTACAACTGCATTTCCTTTATCCTATAATATGACCCGATAGCTTTAAACTTTATATATATTTTTGCCAGCTTTTCTACCTGCAATTTGCAGCTGCAACAGTGTTGCTTTTATCCTGCATTATGTGTTAACTTCTTCATATTTGTCTGATTGTAGTTCACTCTTTATTTGTGAAATATGACATTCCACATGTTTTTTTTATTGGTGGCATACTGCTAACTCCGCCCCTTTCATATGAGCTTATTTACCTTTATATTGGTTTGTTATTCTGTTTGGCATGTCCTTAGTTTACCTATCCCTGCATTTTACCTTCACTATTGTGCCACTTGCACTATTTTGTGTTTTATTGTTCTATATTAAGTATGTTTTGTGCTTTTGGAGGAATTTGGGGATTCAGACTTGTATTGCCACCACTACGCTGTAGCTGTTGTGCATGTGAGAACAAAGCCTGGACTCCTCCTTAAGGTTCTGTTCTGTCGTACTGCAGGAGATTCATCTCACTCCCCTCTCTCTGATCTGTGTACAGACTCGTTATAATACAGAGGGGGAGAGTCATTCTTTCAGAAGCTCACATACTAGAGTACAGGTAGTAGACTCAGCCCACCTGTGGTTACTGAGACTAGCCATGTCCCGGACCGTCTGAGCCGTCTCTGAGGCAAAGTCCAGAGCCCCAGCCACCGGTTTGGTCACTGTGCCAACTAGACCTTTGCCCAGGCCAGAGAAGAAGCCGCTGACTCCGCCCTCCGTCTTCACGCCCTCCACCGTGGAGGTGATGATGCTCGTCATGCCTCCAATGATACCTGGGGAGGGAGATATGTCAAAGAAGGGTCACTTCACAGAGCAGAGAGACTGAGAGCCAGCTCCACCATATCATCCCTGGTGCTGAGAGGAAGCCGCGCTCATATAAACTGCCATGTACTGTCTACTGCTCTAACAGTAGACCCCCTTGAAAACGAGATGGTGCATCTCAAGGGGTTTATCCTAATAAATAAAATGCCTATATATATAATGTCCATTTCTTCTCTAGGCTAAGGAGCAATAACAGAAAAACATTATAAAAGATTTGAAGTCACTTCCCATGATTCATTGGGTCAGTTGCCCCATCAGGGATGCACACAGAGCAGCAGGAGGGAATAACTCAGAGCCATCATGGCTTCTGTGTCTGTATTCTTTTTCTGTAGCTTAGTGAGATTGTATATTTTAGAGTACTCCATTGATTCAATATTTTCGTTATATTGTGTATCATTCAGATACTCTAGTGATATATGTCCTTTCTGTTGTGTATTTGTATATATTTGCTGATAATGTTTATGTTTATTTGTATTATATTGTATCTTATAAATATTTGTAACGTGTGTAATGCTTGACAACACTGCTGCTGTGACAATGTCATTTCCCAATCTGGGATGAATAAAGTATCCATTTATCTATATTACATGTCGCCTGTTAGACGGTTTTATCCAAAGCGACCTGCACACATTCAGTACTGTGGGCAACCCCCACAGGAGCCAGTTGGGGTGTCTTGCCAAGGGACAAAACCACATTCTGAGTGCAGTGGGACGCGACCTTGATCTCCCCTGAGCCGAAGATCAGTGCACTACTCCACTGAGCCACAGCCTCCCTTCTGCTGCTGGGTACTGATAGAGGATCTGTACACCTGACGGGTGAAGTCTCTCTATTACAGGAATAACAATGTGATACATTCTTTTTACTGCCTCCTATCACAGCCTTTACGGCCCGTCCACACAGCGGCGTGCGTTGAAAGCTTCACCATTCACTCGCCGAACTGCATTGCGGGAAGCAACGCAGAGCGTTGCTGGCGTGGCTCGCTGCAAAAGTTGAGCAATGTTCAACTTTTGAAGCCTCGGCAGAAGCGTCAGCCAATCGAATCATATGTCAGTACAAGCTCTAGCCAATCAAACCGCTGCTTGTGTGTCAGGGGCGGGAGATTCATGTGATTGGTTGTTGGTCGAGTTTCAGACACGCCCGCCGGCAAACTTCAACGCACGCCGCCGTGTGGACGTACCGTTAGAGTACTGAATATTTTCCAAACATTACATGTCAATTGAACAGTTTTTGACAACAAAACACTGTTTTTCACCCTGCCAAGTGCACATGCATCTATTATTTCATTGGTCACAGATTTCCTTTGTCTCTCCCAGCCAGCAGCTTCAACATGAGAAGCATCAGCTGTCAGCCACATCATGTGTGCTGCTCTCCACCTTTCAACATGAAATACACTGACAGTATCTGTGTGGAAAAAATAATAGGGCCTGATTATTTTTAGCTTTTTTGTGTTTAGGGGGCCCACGGAAAATAATTCTAAAGCCTACGAGTTGTGCGCAGACACAGAGTGGACACAGAGTGGACACAGAGTGGACACAGAGTGGGGGTGTACCGTGAGCCAGACCGTGGATCCCTGCCACCAAGTGCTCCCCGCTGGTGGCCCCGTGGTACCGGATGTACTCTCGCTCGCTCTGGTGCCGGTTGTCCATGGTCTTTCCCAGCCCGTCTGATAACGTCCCTGCAAACTGACACACAGGGAACAGGAACATGCTCACTATGCATAATAATAATACATTTACTCAAGAGGCGCCTTTCAAAGCACCCAAGGACACCTTACAATTCATAAAATAGTCTGAAGAAAGGTGAAAGCTTTTACAACTTTCACATGATTTTATGTGTGCGCTTGTGTACAATGCATGTGCTGATGTGTAGATTCAGGAGCTGGACACATAACAGGAACACCTGTACAATATGATAATGTCAAGGAAGAGCCAAGCAAAGAAGATCTGCACCAGTGTGAACAGAACATGTGAAATGTAGCACTGTTATTATGAACAGATATAAAGGAGTGAACCACAGCTGAGCAGGTTACCTTGGCAGCAGAGTTGGACACCCCGTGGGTCACATTGCGTATGAGCCCCCCCACGTTGCCGTACTTGATGAGCTCAGACATGCCCTCCGTCACGTCGTTCAAGAGCCCCATGGGGTTTCCCAGGAAGTCCACAGAGCCCAGGATCTGAGCCGCCTGGCTCATCAACTCCTGCACAAAGATGCAAAGGAATAGAATAGAATTCCTTTATTGTCATCGCACCAGGTACAACGACATTTTAAAAAGCAATCCTCGCAGTGCATTTCAACATAAAACGAATAAATATATATCTATATAAACATATATACACATAAACATATGCTCACACATCCATACTAACATGCATACATGCCCGCACATCATTTAAATACAGTTTACAATATAAAAAACACAGGGATGATATTTTGCATCTCTGATGTCGATCAGTTAATAAATTAGTAAAACTATTAAAAAGTAGTGCAGTTGCAAGTTGTAACTGTGTGTGTGCTAGTTCAGCGTTTGACGGTGTTCAGTTCACAAAGGCTTGTCACATGCACAGTAACTACAGTGTAGATATGGCAAAGAGCATCTTAAGTCCCAGGCTACTTCAACAATGCAACGTAAAAATAATATAACACATAAAATAAATTATAAAACAAGAAAAATTGTGCAAGAAGAAACGGAATAGAAATAAAATAGGGCAAGATTATGTAACAAGACCAGTATGCAAGCAATGCAGAGGAAGTAGAGTATATCAATGTAAACAATATATATATATACAGTACCAGTCAAAAGTTTGGACACACCTTCTCATTCAAAGGTTTTTATTTATTTTAATTATTAGTAAACAAAAAAGTGTTAAACAATCCAGAATATGATTTATATTTTTAGATTCTTCAAAGCAGCCTTGAGAACAGCTTTGCACATTCTTGGCTTCTCTCAGTCAGCTTCATGACGTCATCACCTGGAATGGTTTTCCAACAGTCTTGAAGGACTTCCCAGATGTGCTGAGCCCTTAATCGTCCCACAGAGGGGACATGTCCATTCTGCATTTGACCCATCCTAGTGTACGGAGCAGTGGGCTGCCATTATGTACGGCTCCCAGGGAGCAGTGTAGGGAACGGTGCCTTGGACACCTCGGTAGCACTTAGGCCCAATCCCAAACCATTCCCTCGACATTATCCCTCCGTGACGGAGTGAACTCCGTCTGTAGCCACACTCGCAGCTCAACGAGGCTCCCTCCTGTCAGATGGAGGGAGTAAATACAGCAGCAAGCTTTGGGACGGCCTCCCCTCTCTCCGGAAGGAAACAGGAAGTGCCGTAACTGTATCTAACAACGGTTTCAAATCAGCATCTCTTAGACAAAAAATGTTAATTAATAACTCAAATAAAACTCCAAACATCTTTCATTGTGTTACTTTTTTGTAAAGCTCTTTTAGTTTTAAATCTGATGTTTATAAGCTTCTTAGTTTTTGCAACAATCTGTAAATATACACAACTTTATAATAAAATGCACACATTTACCTTTTTCTAGACTAAACACAGGTATGATCCTCAGTTTAAAACATATGAGGTTATCATGAGGTTGTTAACATCGCAGTTTATCAGTGGATGTTTGCTGGAACTACTTGTTAACAGCTTGTTTCCTGACGGACACACACAGCGTGACTCCGGTCAGGTAGAGACCGGTCTCAAGTCAGCACCGATGCAGACTCGCTGTTTGAGGGCTTGATAGGCCACTCCCCCTCCACACCGCTCCACACTCGTTGCTTTGGAACAGCCCTTAATATGACGGACCCTCCGCGTGAACGCACAAACGGAGGGGTAGGGTGTAGGGGGCGGTTTGGGAATGGGCCTTTGTCTTTCCGGGACTTGAACCGGTGACCTTCCGGTTCCCAAGCCAAGTCCCTATGGACTTCGCCACCACCGCACCGCATTGGGTTGAGGTTGATTGTGGAGGCAAGGTCATCTGACGCAGCTCTCCATCACTTTCCTTCTTAGTCAAATAGAGTTCCAGGTGACGACCTCATGAAGCTGACTGAGAGAAGCCAAGAGTGAGCAAAGCTGTCATCAGGTCAAAAGGGGGCAACTCTGAAGAATCTAAAATAAAAATCATATTCTGGATTTTTTAACACTTTTTTGTTTACTACGTAGTTCCATATTTGTTCTTTCATAGTTTTGATGTCTTCAGTATAAATCAACAAAGTAGAAAACAATTTAAATAAACAAAAGCCATTGAATGCACTCCGCTCTGCATCAGCCAAACAGCTCGTTGCGCCCTCGCTGCGAGGGGGACCCAAGTTCCCATCAGCAAAAACACGTGGGTTTGCTGTCCTGGCTCCAGGATGGTGGAATGAGCTCCCCATTGACATCAGGACGGCAGAAAGCTTACACATCTTGCGGCGCAAACTGAAAACTCATCTCTTTCGACTCCACTTCGAGCGATAGAACTATTAACAAAGCACTTTTATACTAATAAAGGACTGGCTTACCTAAAGCCAGTTGAGTAGCACTTGAAATGTTTGGCTCTATGAAACCTGATGTACTTATATGATTCTGTTTTCTTCAAGGTTGTGTCTTCCTGGTCGAATGTACTTATTGTAAGTCGCTTTGGATAAAAGCGTCAGCTAAATGCAATGTCTGTAATGTAATGAGAAGGTGTGTCCAAACTTGTGACTGGTACTGTATATAAATACAATAAACTCAATGATTTATTTTCAGCATACCATAATAACCTAGTCATCTCTGACTCAAACCACCATTTCTATCAGCTGCTGTGCATGTAGTGCATGTAGCAGCTGATAGAAATGATCTTCACTTTATTTATCAAACATGGAGAATGGCTGGCCAACAAAGTCTCACAATGGATTGGATCGAGTTCTGCAGGAGGGGGGATCCCAGCAGTGTCACAGCTGCTGTAGTGCAATTGTGTAGTGAGACTCCCTGATAATGACTAATGGCTAATCATTTGAAATCAGCATACCTCTCTGAAGTGCTTGAGGATGTCGTTGATGAGGATCTCCTGGGTTTCATAGGGGTGCACTCTGGTGAAGGGGTACATGTTGATGACAGCGTCTTCAAAGCGGACCAGAGGAAAGCCCAGGGTGCCTTTCAGAGCCTACAGAGAACACACACAGCCTTATTCAAAACATGTGAGGAGAAGTGAAGTACAGTTACAGAGGGACATCAATCTGTTGAAGCTATTATAGCAGTTTTAAAATAATAAGTCTACTGCTGTTTAATCCCTAGAGATGTGTCAGGACAATCGGCCCCTCTATCTGCAGGCAGGCAGTGCCCGACATGAAGGGCACTGCCACTGAGGGCCCCTGCTGCTGACTGCTCTACCTGTCAGACACAGGAGGCAGTTTGGGCTCATGTGTGCGTTTAGAATCGTAATGTTGTGTAAAGGTGAAGCTTGCTGCTGATTCTCATGTTCAGAGAGTTTATTACCTGTCCTGTCTTAGTGCAGCTGGACGCTTTAGTCATCCTGCATAATGTTGCAAGTCCTCATACATAATGTTCTACTATTTTCACAATCATGACATATTTGTGTATATAATGTGCCTTTTAAGGTCAGTAGATATTTGGACATTCCAGACTGATGGGGAACAACATCTGAATGATGGCTTTTAACATGTTCATTGATATCATGTGTATACATTCTTCTGCACTCACAATGCATTATGATCACTAACGTTTCAACAGTACTGTGAGTAGAGATGAGTGTGTTGGGTTACCTTGAGGTCTGGAGGCAGCTTGTGAGAGGTAAACACGCTAAGTTTGACCTGGGGGAGGCTGATCTTCAGGTTCTCAAAGTAGTAGCGTTTGGGAGGTCCTGATTCCTCGTTGGGCTTCTCATAGATGTTTTCATCAAATGTTTCCAGCTCTGCATTCATTACAGCAACATAACATCATTACAACAAAGTGACTATGTTACTAACAGCATGAAACTAAGAAGATGAACTAATGACCCACCAGCCTCAGTCTGTCCGTATCCAAAGAAGCTGAGCAGCTTGAGCAGCAGCTTCTCCTCAATGATGACGGTGAAGCGGCGGGCCGTCACCATGAGGTGCTGTGAACACATCACGCTTACATCATCAGTCACCTGATTCTATCTACTGCTCACTGGCACACTACACATGCAAAAAAAACAGCTATCACCTGCTGAGGATCTGAAACAAGTCTAACTTCCTGTAGCACACTAACACAGCAGTAAAGGAATGTGGCCCTCACCTTGAACAGGTCCGTGAGCATGAGGCTGCTGGGAACCTTCACAGAGTTGACCTGCAGGGCAGGGCCGCTGTCGCTCACACTGCTGTCACTGCAGCTGGGCGTCACACACAGCATCACAGGCTGCGTGCTGCCCAGCAGCTGGTTGTCCACCTGAAGAGCACAACACACACACAGACTGTTCACACAACACTCACCACAGGCTGACATGCATCTTATGGTTTTTCTCTTAAATAAAGATTCCTCCTGCTGACTTACATCTGATAGTTGTTGTTTTAAAGAGTTTTGCTGTATCTAAAGTATGGTACAGGAGGAGAAAAGCTACGCACTGTAAGACAGATACATTCCTCAGACTTTTTCTTTATATAAATGGTTTGGCACTGACAGCAGGAGGTGTATGTCTGTGTTTGGACATCTGTTGTTTTTTCCATGGTGGAGCATTAGTGAGAGGTTTATGTTTTTGTATGGATAATATTTGTATATTGTGCTGTTAGATGATGATGGTGATGGTGAACACTTGTTGGTAGTTAATGGTGGTGAAGCTGCTGTTGAACAGAGAGGACTTCTGTTTACATCTGTTTCAGAACTGGCTGCACCTGTAAATGCTTTTGTATGAAATGTTGTTATACAAATAGATTTCAGCGTGAACATGTGGATAAATGTCCCAACAGTTGTGGGGCGGGGATGTCACCTGGATGTTCTGAATGCTGAGCTCCAACACCTCGTTAGCTGCAGTGCGGGTGAAGTGGACATCTATCCCGGACAGCGTGGTGAACACCAGCTCCTCTGGGACCTTGTTGACCAGAGATACCCCTACACCCTCCTCCAGGTTCACCAACACCTGAGAATGAAGAGCAATAAGAGGGCTACCTGATACCTCACACACAGTCTGCGCTGATCATAACAAGATCTACACACAGGCCTGATTTATTTGTATGTATAGTGAACGCAACGCTGCGCAAATGTGGGTCTGCCTCACACAGGGGGACTGTCTGTCTACATGATGTTGCCTGCCGACATGGCCACTGTCATACAGATCGTACTTCAAAGCCCTCGATTGGTCTCTGTGTGTCATTCAAACTCGGGAGGGAGGGTGTGTGTATGTGTGGCGCGAGCGAGCGAGAGAGAGAGAGCGCGCACCGGTAAGCCTACTTGTATTGTTGTTGTTAGCATCTGGTGCTAGCTAGCTGCTCTAACGGATATAAGGAGCTGTTTCAACAACAAGATGGAGGGAGAGTCCTCTGCTGTCAGACTGAGAGGCTCTGATAACGTCAGCTCGGGTGAGATAAAGGACTCTGAGTGTTTGGATGGTTAACTTTAGTCCAAGTTGTCCCAGTGTGTCCAGTGGCGGTTCTAGACCATTTTTACTGGGGGGGCCAGGCTGGGGCCAGTTATTTCATGAGAGGGGCACAATAAATAGCGGGTTAACAAGACAAAGACAGTATAAAGTAATTGTGTAATTCCTATTCCAATCCCAAAAAACTATTTTCCATCTTCTCCACCCTCTTGGACCCCCCCAAAGCCCCTTCCCTCTCCTCCCTTCTGCCAAGCGACTTTGTTAACCACTTTAAAAAAAAGGTTGATGATATTCGCTCTTCTTTTTCTGACTCGCCTTTACTCACCGCTGGGTCACCAGACCCTCCTTCCACCAACACACTTACCTCCTTTTCCCCTCTCTCTCCAAGTGAGGTTCTTACCCTCATTACCTCTGCCCGCCCTACCACCTGTCCTCTGGACCCTATCCCTTCAAACCTCCTTCAGACTATCGCTCCTGATATTCTACCGTTTCTCTCCCATTTCATCAACACTTCTCTAACTTCTGGTCACTTTCCAAACAGTCTCAAGGAGGCAAGAGTAAACCCTCTCCTAAAGAAACCCACTCTCAACCCGTCTGATGTTATAAACTACAGGCCTGTCTCTCTCCTCCCGTTCCTGTCTAAATCACTTGAACGCGCTGTCTTTAAACAACTCTCCTGTTATCTCCATCAGAATAACCTTCTGGATCCGCACCAGTCTGGTTTCAAGGCAGGTCACTCCACAGAAACTGCTCTCCTTGCTGTCTCTGAGGAACTGCACACTGCTAAAGCAGCCTCCCTCTCCTCTGTCATCATCCTTCTGGACCTGTCTGCTGCATTCAACACGGTGAATCATCAGATCCTCCTTCGCACTCTCCAAGAACTTGGAGTTTCAGGCTCTGCACTTTCCCTCCTCACCTCATACCTCAAAGACCGTACCTACAGGGTAACTTGGAGAGGGTCCGAGTCCGACCCTTGTCAATTAACTACAGGGGTCCCTCAGGGCTCTGTTCTTGGTCCCCTCCTCTTCTCCCTGTACACAAACTCGCTCTGATCTGTCATTAGCCTGCATGGTTTTTGATACCACTGCTACGCTGATGACACCCAATTAATTCTGCCCTTTCCCCGCTCAGAGACCCAGGTCGTTGCACGCATCTCTGCTTGTCTAGCTGACATCTCTCAGTGGATGTCTGATCATCACCTCAAGCTCAACCTTGACAAGACTGAACTGCTTTTCCTTCCGGGAAAAGATTGTCCCACTCTTGACCTGACAATCAACATTGGCACCTCAGTTGTTTCCCCGACTCAGACTGCAAGGAATCTGGGTGTGACCCTAGATAACAAACTGTCCTTCACAGCAAACATCGCTGCTACAACCCGCTGCTGCAGATACACGCTTTACAACATCAGGAGGATACGTCCCCAGCTGACACAGAAAGCGACGCAGGTTCTGGCCCAGTCTCTCGTCATCTCACGCCTAGACTACTGCAACTCCCTCCTGGCTGGTCTACCTGCATGTGCCATCCGACCTCTGCAGCTCATCCAGAATGCAGCGGCTCGTCTGGTCTTCAACCTTCCTAAATTCTCCCACACCACGCCGCTCCTCCGCTCCCTTCACTGGCTTCCGGTAACTGCTAGAATCCACTTCAAGACACTGGTACTAGCTTACCATGCTGTGAATGGATCTGGCCCTTCCTACATCCAGGACATGGTTAAACTGTATCAGCAAAAACACGTGGGTTTGCTATCCTGGCTCCAAAATGGTGGAATGAGCTCCCCATTGAAATCAGGACAGCAGAAAGCCTGCACATCTTCCGGCGCAGACTGAAAAGTCATCTCTTTCGATTCCACTTGGAGCGATAGAATTACTAACAAAGCACTTATATACTAATAAAGGACTGGCTTATCTAAAGCCAGTTGAGTAGCACTTGAAATGTTTGGCTCTATGAAACCTGATGTACTTATATGATTCTGTTTTCTTCAAGTTTGTATCTTGTTGGTCAAACGCACTTATTGTAAGTCGCTTTGGATACAAGCGTCAGCTAAATGCAATGTAATGTCATTTAAAATAAACATAAAATACAGTAATTGGTGTTTATTTTATTTTATTTAGATTATTTGTTTTAGTAACTTTAAGTGACAATTTAATTAAAAATCATAAACAGTATTTGTTTTTATAAGGTAATGAACAGTTTAATCTCCACCCGCTACAGGGGGGTTCCTAGTCAGTGTTACGGGGGCACAGGCCCCTGTTGGCCAGTGTGAGTGGGTCTCAAACGGTTTGAGAGCTTTGATTCAGAACAGCTGCAGTGAGCAGAGGCTGTTCAGCTGGGGGCGGAGCTTTGATGAGCGAGTAGTGAAAACACTTCCGCGTACTATACCCTCCTCGCTCTCGTCTCTAGTAGTAGATTTAAAGTATAGGGCTATCACTATGGGCAGCAACGCTGTAAATATTGACAAATAAATCCAGCAAAATGGCACAAAAAATGGCTGGGTGTATAATTCCCGGCCTGACTTATTGTCCCAGTCCGACCCCGTCTACACATGATAAGAAATGTGGTGATGATGTCGGGGACAATCAGTGGTCAGCGTTACCTCCAGCTCCTGCTCAGGCTCCTTCTTCTTCACCTCCCCCTTCCCCCGGTCCTGCTCTGTGCTGGGGGAGCTGCGGATCATTCTCCTCTGGTTAAAGTCACTGATCTACAAACAGACACAGAAACTGAAGTGAAGAGGTCCAAACCACTGGAAATAAAACTTAGATGTTAACAGAGCATTTTTAGCTGAGGAAGATAACAACTGTGATATATAGAAGCAGGGGTAAGCAATACATTCTTCTACAATCAGTTAACAGCATTACACTAATTAGCGTTCGCTACGTGCTGAATATGACACAGCACTCATTGACAGTAACAAAGAAAAGCGATGTTTTAGTGAACTTCATTAGTGAAACTCAGTGACCGGCTAGTATAGTGCAGTGGTTCCCAAACGTTTTCTGCAGGGCCCCCCCCCCCCCGACACACGTTCTTTAGCTTCCAAACTCCACTGGAATTTATTTTAAACATTCCAATTCAGAAAACTGCAACTTCTTATTTACAAAACAAAATGAATAATAAAGTGACAAATCACCTTCACATTGGAGTTATTAAATACTTAGGGTTGGGATCGTTTGAATTTTTTTTTTTCTCAATTTAGTTTTTATTATATAAAAACATTACAACAACAGCTGTGCACGTACATAACAACCCAGACAAAATAAACAATGCAATACAGCTATAGATACAAATACAGAAATAATGTAAAATAAAATAAGAAAGCAGGGTCACATTCTCATTTGACCATTTGTCAGAACAGTTCCTCTTACTCAATCAGTCAGTATTCCTTGTCGCTGGTTTGAATCTTTAACATTGACCATTTCTCTTCATATTGTGTTTCATGCAGTCTCAGTCGATATGTCATTTTTTCCATTAAATGAATTTCCACCACAATCTCCATCCACTGTTCCACAGTAGGAGGATGTAGTGAACATTTCCCTCTGTAAAATTGCCCAGATAGAGTACCATGTAGTACATAGGAACCTCATATCTCAGTATCTTTTGCAAAACCTTGTGTACCGATTCCCAGAACTTAAGTATGTTTTGGCATTTCCAAAATATGTGTCAATGGTTGGCCTCTGATTCTCCACATTCTCTCCGGCACAGAGGATTTGTATTTAAGTATTTACTCTGAATCTTAGGTGTGATAAAAAAATCTGTATTCCCTCCATATCCGTGAATTGGTGGATGATCGATGTATCTTCCACATGTTTTACCAATCATCATCTGAAATGGTTGTGTTCAATTCTGTTTCCCATTTTCCTTTTATATATTTAGTTGAATGTTTATTTGAGGACAATACTTTGTATAGAGCAGTTATGGTTCTGATTTTGGTTTCTTTGTAGAGGTGGTACCAAAAAAGTACCAATTTCGATTGGCTGGGCGATTTGCAAACCACGCCCCGTAAAAAAAGTTTTTTGAAGCCGCCATTGTATTTGCTGGCATTAGCATTATTGGCATTAGCATTAGCCCCACGCACCAACGGAGAGAGACTAACTTATGGCAACACAAAAACATGGGAGCGGTGGAGAAAAGGAGGTGTCGGCGTTCTGGCGATTTACTCGGAAGGCTTCAGTAGAAGCTGCTGGGAGTCCCAGCAGCTTCTACTGAAGCCAGTCCCCAACTTAGTGCCGGCACTAAGTACGGCAAAGTACTTGGTGTGAAAGCGGCTATTGGCCCTTAAATACTCAACACAAGAGTGGAGGAAAAAGGTCAGCTAGTTGAATTTATGAATGAAGGGATTAGCCAAAATAAAACATCCTGACCTGTAGGACACGTGTTGGTCCGTCTGGCAGCACCTGGACTGACAGCACACCAGAACCCGGCCTCATCTTCTGGTTGATGAACTGCTGCTCAGGGCCAGGAGCCTGCAGCCCTGAGTCTGGTCCCAGCACTACCTCTGCTCCATCATACAAACCTGACAGCCCACACTTCACCTGAAGAACAAATCAAACATCAACTAAAATCACAGACATCAGTCTCAGGACTCTGAACCTCCCAGTGCAAAGAGGAGAGCAATTCATAGACTCTTCAGTGATTCATGCCTTTACTGGGAACTAAGTACTTATTAAAGCTATCATTGCAGTACAGTGAAGGTGCTTTACAATGAGTTAGAGAAGTAACATACTTCAGGAATGTTCATATGTTCACATCGTAATAAATGTAGCGGTGAGCCCAATCATTTTGGGGGACTGCGCAGCCCCTACATTGCTTTGTGGGAAAGTGTGCCCCTGGTGTTTTACCCGTTAATCAAAGAGGGGCTCAGTCTGGAGGGACTTGGCCTTGGAACCGAAGGCTCGATTGTTCACGTCCCGATCGGACAAAAAAAAACCGAGCGTGGACTGATAGCTGGAGAGGTGCCAGTTCACCTCCTAAGCAACTGCAAACCCCCAACTGCTACCTGGCGCTGGACCGACTGGCTGCCTCTTCACTCGGTGCTCCTCTCCAGATGCATGTGCATGTGTGCACCTATATACCTGTGTGTATTAAAAAAAAACTGCATGTGTGTATTTGTAATGTGTGTGTATTAAAAAATAACTGCATGTGTGTATTTGTACTCCGTGTATAAAACAGAGTGGAAAACTGAATTTCACCATAGGGGGTTTAATGAAGTTTAATCTTCTTCTTCTTCTTCTTTCATGCATCAAAATTCCAAACCAAAGACATATAAACACAGCTTGGTGTCCCCACCTGCACCACCAGCCGGGGAAGGCCACAGGTCAGCATGCCTGAGCTGAAGAACCAGGTCTGGGTGGTGCTGCGGCGAGAGTCTGGCCTCCTCAGCATCAGCGGCTCGAAACTGGGAGAGAAAAGACAGGATGGGAGTGTTCGCTGATACATTTCCTCACAGTTTATGGTGAATGGTCAATGAGAGTCACATCTGCTGTGCTGATCCCACACAGTACACACCTGTTGTCACTGACAGCTGCCAGCCCTGCGATGTCCAGCACCAAAGAGGAGTCCAGGGGGCGTGGCTGTGCAGGCTTGCTCTGCGGGGGGGACGAGCCCTCATGGCACAGCATGCCGGTCCCCGTCATCCTCCACAGCTGAGAGCGCTTCCCTGGCTCCTGCACAGCCATCACAGTTACAACAGTTACAGTTACAGTGCTTGTTGTTCAAATCGTTACTTTGTGTTACTTTCTTCATGGGCTGCAACTGGGGGGGAACTTGATTACCGGATTCCTCTCACTAAGGCTTACCCAGAGCTGCACATGCACTATGACATCACAGCATACACACACTGTGTGTTTATTGGGACTGATCCATGGCAGACAAAAAAAGTGTAACCCTAATCAACCTGGGATCACAACTACATTAGGCTGTGAGTGAATGATTCCTTTGTCACTGCCTTGCTGATCGGCACTTGGATTCTCTGTATTAGTTGTCCCTCTAAACTTGCATGCTGTTTTTCCCCTCACCCTGACCCTAGCCTGTGCAGTGTGGGTCACCTGACATGAAAACAGTACCTTCTTTTTCAGGATGACCCTTTGAGTCTTAGTGTCCACGTCGAGGACCAGTTCAGCACAGCTCACCAGACGCTTCTTCCCAACAGGCCTCTTCTCCACTTTCCTGCAACAACAAGATGATGCCTTTAACGTTTTAATATAGAGAAACATAAAGATATATGGTGATGTCATTAGTCAGTCAGGTCATACGGTGAGAAGGTGTGCGTGGCAGCGATGTAGATGAAGTTCTCGTAGTAAAGCTTGTTGTACTCTCTGAAGAAGTTCATGTCTGCAGTGACCTCTGAGGATCCCGCCCCCTTCACGGTCAGAGTGAGGTAGGGGGGCAGGGTGGGCTCGTCACAGGCGTAGTCCAGCACGCAGTCCGCCTTCACCTCAGTGTGCAGGCGGACGTCCGCCACACCATGCTGCCAGCACTGGATTGGAACCTGAAGGGATGAAACAACGAAATCTGTTCAATTTACTTATTAAAAAAGGGATAGACCCAATAACCACTTCCAAGATGTTTAATTCCTGGAATCGCATGCCTCTAACAATCAATTCATTTTATGTCCTACTGACTTTTGCATGTGTGAAGTTGCATAAACACCATGTTTATCATGTTTCAATTTGTTTGGGACCAAAGGCATGCGGGAGACAAAAAAACACTCAAGCATGTGATGCTGCTAAACCTGGAGGCCCCTTGTTTGTTACTTAATAATGAAACGTAAAAAATTGGTCTTAAAATGGTCAGGAGTAGAGCTCGTAGAGTTCATGCTACTTAAGCTGCCTGCCCAATGGCTTACTTCAGAGATGTTATCGATGCGGAAAGGTGGAGGCAGCTGGTCCGTGTCAGAGAAGGAGATCTGGTACGTGGCCCCCTTCAGGGTGATCTCTGTCCGCAGGAAGAAACAGCTTCCCAGTGTGTCCCTGTTCAAAACAACATCCACTTCAAATTCTTCATTTCAATTTCCACACAACCTGAGATGGTGGAATATATATATATTTGTATTAAATCTGTGTGTTCTGGAGAGTGTAAATGTAGCTCACCTCATGTTGACGTGAAAGGACTTTGGTTTGTTGACCTCGAAGCCTCCTGACCAGGTGCAGTTGGGGGTGTCCATGAGGCGCACACACAGCAGCTGGTCGTAGTCATTGCGTGGCCAGTGGAAGACAACGCTGGAGCCCGGCAGGGTGGAGATGTAACCCTCTGGGTTAGCCGCACCCTAAAACAAAAGTATTCTTCAATGACTCCTGTCATACTGGACCTACTGTCCGCCTTGTAGGAGAAACTGGAGGAAGGCATGGGCTGTGTATAACAGTTGAATGAAGCCACCATGACATCATCTATCGCTTTGTGGATTTCTTTAACTTTCTGCATTTTGGCAGTGGCCATCTTGTATTTTTACAACAAGAAGTGTATCTCACTCTCTCTCACTCACTGTGTGAAGTGTTTGAGCATTTGCCACTAAGCTACCTGAACCTTCTTTCTGGATTTATTCCTCACCTTTCCTCTTGCAAACTCTCTCTGAGCGAAGGCCAGTTTGTGTGTAGAGCGGTTATCCAGGAGGTAGCGCGGGGCAAAGGTCACTATGTGTGTGTCCCTGTAGCGTCCTTTTCCTTTCCGCACACTGATGCCTGAGTGGATCAGACAGGGAACATTGAATGCCCGACAGACATTTGTATTGCTCATGTGACAACTGAGACATTAGGTAATATACAAACTTGCCTATGTTATAGATGAGGCCAGGCCTGTTCCCATGCTGGATGACCTTTACTGCCCTGACTCCACTGCCTCCGTCCAGGGAGAAGCCCTGGCACCAGCCTGGAACTCCGTCTGGGTGGATCCCTTTACCGATCCGCATTGTGCACCTGTGATCAAGATACAGGGTTCTTACACCTTTTCCAAAGTCAAATTCAAGCACTTTTCAAGCATTTTCAAGGTGCATTTTCCAGCTTTTCAAGCATCTTACAGCTGTTGTAAATTACATATTTATATACACATACTCAAATGATTATTTCCCTACCTCACATTAAATCAGATGTTCTTTATGCTATAAACAAACAAATGTGTGTTTCGTGATAGCCTTCTACACGAGGATGACAAATTAAAGAAAAGAAAACTAAGTTTAATATTTCAAAATGAGTGATCTGTACGTAGACTGAGCATCCCATATAACCTGGCTGAGCCAATATACAACAATCAGCCAAATAACTTTTCAATACATTATTGATTACTATTTTTGAGGTACTTTTAGGTTGGCACTGGCAGTCAAGTCAAGTCAGAGGTACATGGTGTACTTCTACTCCACTACAGTTCAGAGGTACATGGTGTACCTTTACTCCACTACATGTATTTAATCCCTTCAGTTACTTCACAGATGTGGATGGTGTGAAATATAACCAAGTGTTGAATCAGACTTTAGTTCCACCTGGAGTAAATCCACAAGCTACCCTGCAGTATACAAAGTCATTCAAACTAGCTGCACCTTTACCAGCTTTGAGAACACTTTCATGATCAATCATTATAAAACACATCATATATATTATTCTGAAATGGACCAATCTGCACAACGACTACTTTTACTGTCGCTACTTTCACTAGATTTTGATGAGAATACTTTTCTACTTTTACTTGAGGAACATTTTGAATGCAGGACTTTTACTGTAACAGAGTATTCCTACACTCTGGTACTTCTACTTTTGCTAAGTACAAGATCTGAGTACTTATAATTTCACTACAAGATCTGAGTACTTATAATTTCACTACAAGATCTGAGTACTTGTACTTTTACTCAAGTACAAGATCTGAGTACTTATTCCACCTCTGGTAGTGTATTAGTCTGAACTGTAGCCACAAAATCACGCAGAGCTGCATACAAATAGACTCACAATGGTAACAAGTAGAAAATAATATTTACAAATGTGTACAATGATTTGTAGGTGATGCTGACTACTCAAAAAACCTGACTTATACAAAGGAAGACTGTGTTCATTCTACAATTACATGGGATTAAAGCAACATGTAGTTTTACTTGTATAATACTTCCATTTTATATAAAAGACAGTTTGTTTTCATCTGTTTTCAAATAAACAAAGTATTGGCTTTCAGAATATTAAACTTGTTTCGGCAAATTCAGATGATAAATACAACTTTGAAGCTTCGGCATAATTACAAGCAGAGAACGGACTAATGTAACATCACAGCAAGCATAACAACAGCCGGTGTTTCTTGTAAGTATTTCCCCGGTACACAAACGCAAAAATACACAAACACACTCGCGAGCTTCCCCCAGACCAGTAATACAAACGAAAATGTGTCTTCGGGTCAATGTGACTGATTTCGATAGAGCAAGTTACATTTGGTTTAGGCACGAAACATACTACCAGTAGAAATACATTGCTTTCAAAATCGCTCTGTCGAATCAATAGATTATATTTCGTGACTATAACACGAAATGCCGTGAGTGCTTCATCCTCTGAACACCGCAGAATGGCGACTGTAACGCACATAACACGCTCCTCTGAAATGATTGTCCCCTGCAATTATTATTATCCCTCAATCGAGTTCGCTATTCAGCTCGCTAACGTTAGCTTCAACAAACGTAACATGCAACGTTAGCCTAATCTAAAATGCTCTACTACGGCGTACCTTTCATGGCTCGTCAGCGCAGACTCTTGCATCGTTATTTGTTGCAAACTTTGCAGGAGGCTACTCGTGGGCTTGACCCTCGTCTTAGCCATGGCTTGTATTTGTCTTCTGCTAGCCAACGCTCGTTGAAACTGCAACCTCCTGGCACACAGTCATCTATCACTCGTAACACAAACACTTGCAGGTCGCGCGCATAGCGCGGGAAGGTGCAGCGGAGCTGTTTTATGTAGAAGCGAAGCAATTATTTTCTTTTAATCTAAAAAGCGAACTATTCAGTCAGACAGCAATTTATTGTAAAAGTAAAGCATTTACATTTTCAAGCACTTTATCTCAATTTCAAGCACCATTCCCAAAATTCAAGCACTTTCCCAACCTTGAAAACACCACGTCAAATTTCAAGCATTTTCAAGGATTTCAAGCACCCGTACGAACCCTGAAGATAGACGGGGAGAATGGAATTACTGCCTGGTGGTTATAATGTATGTCTCCGCAGGTCACTCCAGTTTACTTCCATTGTCATCACATATTTCATCCTATCAATATATCTGTGTAAATTGTAAATCATTTGAATATGAATTCATGAGTTATGGTTAAAACACATGTTTTGTGAGGTCACATTGAAAATCATGACTCACTCATCTCGAGTCAAATTGGATGTTGCTCCTTGAGAAATTGCCTTTATAGGAAGTGGGCCTGACAACCTGAAACATACAGTACTGCCTCTGGCCACTGAACCGTACAAACAGAAGGTAGGGATGTAAGGAGAATTTAGAGCAGCTCATCCAACTATCACTAAGTTAGGGACTCTCTCAGTGCACATGCCGAAGGATGTCTGTCACTACCTCAGGCAGCAGGCAGGTCAGACCCTGTCTCTGACACACACTTACATCGCAGGCTGCTCCTTGTCAGTGTAGCAGAACAGCAGTGGGCTGAGGCTCCGGGCCAGCTCGTGCTCCTCAAACTGGCCTGCAGCATCAGCTTTGCCGTTGTCCTGACGGAAAATTAACGGCAGGCCTAAGGAAGGAAAACAGTTTTAGGGAATGATAACAGAGACGCTTGTTCTTTAAGCAATGGCTGGTTTGTTTTGTAAAATGTAAAACTGTAGTTTATATTGTTAATGAAACATTACCAGTCTTGTTGATAAGCCAGTAGGGGGCAGAGATTAGGATCTTCAGAGCCCCCTGTGCTCGCAGGATGATGCGGATGGTGAGGCAGAGCAGATGTTTGTTGGTGTCATACAGCCTCATGCGCACCACATAGTTCTGAGTACCAGGGGGAATGAGCAGCTCTTTGCACACAGGGAAGCTCTCCAGCAGGACTCCTGAAGGACAGACATGAACAGCAGTGTTCAGAGTGAAAGAGTGCAAAGGTATATGTGACCTGCTCCATCGAAATCAGTCGCATTGACCCGAAGACACATTTTGAGTTGTATACACTGTTGGAAAGAGGATATTCCTAGCTTTCAAATGATATCAGGATTGTTTTTGTACTCCAAATATTAAGCAAAATATGTCACATTATATAATGACTTTCACCGAGTCATCATTTTGAGAAAAAGGCCTTCAAAGTTTTCTCTTCTCTGGAATCCATCGATCTGATTGATTATTAGTGGAGCAAATGATCAAAATACTACGGAGGGAAGATATTTTCGTTTGGATTACTGGTCTGGGGGAAGTGTGTGTTGTGTGTGTGTATACGTGTGTGTGTGTTTGTGTAATTTTGTGTTTGTGTGTATTGTGTTTGTTTCCCGGGGAAAACCCTCACGAGAAACACCGGCTGTTGTTATGCCTGCTGTGACGTTAAGTTACTCCTGTTAACATGTAATCTCTTTGCGCCTATACTACTGGCCATACGGTAGTCTAGGTTGCCCTCTTGAGGCTGTGAAACGCATGTGCAGTTAGTCTGTGTCGACCTGGAGCATGAGGTCCACTGTTCGTTAATGGCTCTGTATTGGTGTTATGCACGTTGATTGACCAAGTTAACAGAAGATAAACGTCGTGTTTATTTGTAGTAGACTAACAACTCCGTTCTCTGCTTGTAATTATGCCGAAGCTTCAAAGTTGTATTTATCATCTGAATTTGCCGAAACAAGTTTAATATTCTGAAAGCTAAGACTTTGTTTAATTGAAATCAGATGAAAACAAACTGTAACGGACCCTGCCGTGTTATCTATGATTACTATACTCTTACATTCATAATGTCAGCGGGAGGGAGGGGGAGCTGCGCTGTGGAAGAGCAGATTGCAACTGTGTGAGTTTGGAAATAAAAGTTTCATATTCTGAAAGCCAAGACTTTGTTTGTTTAAAATCAAACAAAACACCCGAACCCCGAAAAACAATTTTTTTACACAAATCCACATTTATTTTGAAATGAGCCGTTGCGACTTCCGACTGATTTCGATAGAGCGGGTCACATATTTGCAATATATATATATATATACACCGCTTTATAATAAAAAAGATTACTGGCCACTAACTCTTAGACGATTCAAATACTGAAATAAATCTAGATGTGTATTTTAGTAAATAGTAATTTATAATTTTTTTCCATTTCTATCTTTAATATTTTATGCATGCCTCTTAATTAATATTTTGCTATTTTTGGCTCTTCACTTTTGCTGTAACAATATCAATTTCCCCTCTGTGTGACAAATAAAGGTATTATGATTCTAAAGGAGGCAAAAACAGCCAGTGACTGACGACAGGGCGGGCGCTGACCTAGCTCCATGTTCTGAGAGGTGTCGGCAGGGTGAAGCACTGCCTCTTTCCCCGGCTTCAGGGAGCCTCTGATGGATGTTCCCTTGATGAAGTAGTTGAGGTCACAGGGCAACAGGTTGGCCAACACCATGGTGGGCAGCAGGTAGATGGTGTGGCCTGGCTGTCGATAGATCTCCTTTGCACTGCCAGCAACCCTCTTGGCCGGCTGCTGCTCCGGATAGTTCTCCTTTTTGATGACCACACAAAATCTGCGAGATGCAGAGAAATTAGGCAAACAGTGCCATTTAAAAGGGAGACAAACCAGAGAACAACATCTGTGACTGACTGTACACACCTGAAGTCACGCTTGAGGCTGTCGTCAAAGTCTGCTGACTGACAGTCCCTCTTACTGCTGCTGATCTCCCCGGGCCGCTCCACGCTGGTCCAGTGGATGGGAACCTTACAGAAGAACACGCCCAGGCCTTTGGGCCGGGCCTGCAGACGCCAGGACGTGAGGTGGAGGGGCACCGCCAATGCCTGGCCGGGGAGGATAGGAGGCAGCACCACTGGCTCTGGAAACACAGGGACACAGCTGGCTGCATTAATGTGACCCACATGGTAAAAACATGAATTTGCAAGATTAACAAGAAAAAGTAAAAAAGAAAATAAAGAATTCTGTGTGATAAAGTGCAATAAAGTGCCCTAGTTGTGAATGGTAAAAGAGAGAGTTTTACTGTCAGGAGCAGAGGGGCTGTCCAGGCGGACCTCCATAGGAACATCCAGCCGGTTCTTCACCATGAGGGACGAGCGGACAGTGATCACCTTCCTGGCACTGCCCTCCATAGTGATGGAGAACACCACTCTGACTGGAGGCAGGGCAGAGAACTGGGGGATGGGGGGTCACACAGATAAAGTCACCGTCAGGGTTCAATTCATATGGAGCTTCAGTGGGGATCCAACTAATGAAGCCATCTTACACTCAACCAGGCGTCTGCATGAGTTATTATTATTACTGGGGACATTCTGTTTTCATTCATTTGACTAATATCAATGTGATGGTAATAAGTGCTCAGGTATTAGGTAATAAGCTCCTTAATAACATTGTTATTGTTGTTATTTTTGACTGTATAAGTGTTAGTAACAGTCTTATAAACAGTGTTTTAAAAAGCATTACATTGTTGATCAACAAACTTGCCTTTTTATTCGCTGTTTGTTTCTTTATTCAGATTATAGGAGTTGTTTGGTTTGATGGTGTAAAGTGAGCATCACAGCTGCTTACAGATTAGTGTAAATGGTATTTTTCTTTTTGAACCAAACATACTCCGCACGACAGGGTCAACAATGCTCTCTCAGAGCCCCGGACAGTCAGTACAGGAGCCCCTCAACGACTGCACTAGAATCCACCCCAAGAACCATATAATCAAATCCTCCGATGATACAGCCATCCTTGGCTTAATGCACAAAGGCTTACCACTCTGAATAGAGAGATTTGTGCAATGGTGTGATGTTAACCATCTTGTGCTGAATGTGAAGAAGACTGAGGAGGTGGTGTTGGACCCAAAGGCAGTGGGTGAACTTAGGCCGGTGGTTATCCACAATGAACCCATAGCTCAGGTCAGCTCCTATGAGTACCTTGGTGTTCATATAGATAGTACACTCAGCTGGAGGGTCCATGTAGAGGGTCTGTGCTCTAGACTTCAACAGCGGTTGTATTTTGCGTACACTCAGGGCTTACGGAGTCGAGCAGAAGTTCATGTTATTGGTTTATCATGCAGTGTTGGAGAGCACCATACGATATGGTATCATGAGCAGTCCATTATTAGACAGGCACAACAAACCGTGTCTGATCCCCCCCACATGCTCCACCCAGAATTCCAGCTCCTTCCTTCTGGTAGAAGATGCAGGGTTCCCAAGAGCAGGCTGAAGCTCTAGAAGCACTCGTTCCTGCCTCTGTCCATTAAGCTGCTCAACACTCACATGTGATGTAATACTCATGTTGGCCATGAGGGGTGCAATAGGTCGCCTGCGTCAGTAGGTGCGTCTGTGTATTGTGTTTGTGCAAACGGTGTATGAGTGATGATATGTGTGTGTATTTTAATGTTTACTATGTTTGTATATGTACATGTATGTGGAATTGCAGGACGGAGTCCAGAACACATTTCCTTACGGGAACAATAAAGTAAACTGAAAACTCATCTCTTTCGACTCCACTTCGAGCGTTAGAACTACTAACAAAGCACTTATATACTAATAAAGGACTGGCTTACCTAAAGCCAGTTGAGTAGCACTTGAAATGTTTTGCTCTATGAAACCTGATGTACTTATATGATTCTGTTTTCTTCAAGGTTGTATTTTGTTGGTCGAACGCACTTATTGTAAGTCACTTTGGATAAAAGCGTCAGCTAAATGCAATGTAATGTAATGTAATGTATATCGAATAGTATTGTACTGTGCTTGTATAAAAATAAAGTAGTGTGACTCACATAAACATGCGGGTGGATGATGTTGGTTCTGCTAATAGGACTGCCAACCTGTGAAACAGTAGAGGAGAAACACATCAAACTCCACGGCAATTTGTCATTAACGCTAAAGGTGAAAAACTGTTTCTGAGTGGTGCTCACAGTGTTGGAGGAGCTGTTTCTGTCCGGAGCTGCATAACGGAAGAACACGCCCACTTTGTCCACGGACACCGGCTTCACCTGCTCCCACCCACACACCCGCACCACCAGCTGGTGAAGCTTCAGCTCATGAGTTTGTCTGCAGAGGGCATAATCACATTTTCACTCACTCATTGATACTAGATACAGTTTTATATGAAAAGGGTAGCAAGCCAAGCCAAAGCACAGCATAGCACGGAACAACAATTACACCTAACATCAACCCACCATTCAGGGTCTATGCAGTGTTTAAGTGTCATTACTCTAACAGGTAACATCCACACACATGTGCAGAGGATAACAACTTACACACACATCATTACATAGATCATTTCTTTTCATAACCTGGGATTAATTTAAGCAGTCATATTGACTTTGATAACATGAAATTCAAAGAGAAGTCTGAAAGCATAAATAAACTTTATACCAAAGAGTGACAGTATGCACATTCTTGATGCATACCATCAATTCATAGCAACATTTCAGACAGCCTGTCAAGACAGTTGTTCTGAGTTGAATGTCCAAACCAATCAACAGTTTGATAAAAGAGTTCATGTTTGTTTAATAAAATGTACTGTGAATCAGAGGTGTACCTGTGGCGGAGTTTCTCGCGGACTTCGAACTCAAAGGGGACCTCCTCCCCAGGCAGCACCTCCCTCCACTGGCTCACATTGTGGGTGTCATCAGTTCCCGGGCCGTGAACGTCTGAGATGGAGTCTGCACTGCTGCTGTGAGACAGCGCCACCCTGTAGAACATGTGGAGAGCTTTACAAGGAGACATTGTTCTGAGATCCACCCTGAAGTTGAAGTTGTGTGCTGTGGAGAACCCTGTCACTTACACAATGTAAACATTAATAATTGCCCTAACAATATGATGTCATATTTGGCTTCATATCGTCACAAATGTGACATTATGTTAATGTTCCTATGTTATCAAATTTGCTATGCACATTTAGTATCAACAGGGTTTCCTTTTCTTATAATTGTGATTTATGGTATAAGAGGGTATATGCAGGAATCCTGAAGTCAGATGTAAGACCTTTTAAGACCTTTTGAAGATCCTTTCCATACATTTTAAGACCTCATCGCCACTTGGAGTTTTAACCGGTTACCTTGGCGACACACTTTACCTCACATTGACTACATACAGTATTGATTGTCCTTCCTCCTTATCTTCTAACCATTTGGACGAAGACTTGAATTTCCCCATAACGATGTTGTTTAACAACCGGCGTAAACGGGCCTCCGCGCTATCAAGCAGTGAGCGTGCGACGTCCTGTTCAGATGACGTCAAACCCAACGGGATGCCATCAATAAACTACACAGAATCACACTACACACCTACGCAATGATTACATTCAGGCACACTGTAGAATACAACCTCTTTGGACCATTTATATACCATACAAAATGTAATACCTTGGAAAATGCCGTTTAATACTTTTTAATAGCCTTCATTTTCGCTAAATTGATTGATCAACTTTTAATACTTTTTAAGACCCTGCGGACACCATGTATAAGAATATTTTAGATCAGGGGTGTCAAACTCATTTGAGTGCAGGTTCCACAGACAGTCGAATCTGATCTCAAGTGGGCCAGACCAGTAAAATCATAACAAAATAACCACAACTCCAAATTGTTCCCTTTGTTTTGAGGCAAAAAATTACATTCTGGAAATGTTCACATTTAATGAACTATCTTTTTACAAATTGAATTATTTAACATTAATTTTCACATCTGTGTAATCCTTAACCACCGGAACTGAAACGCTACACCATACAAACTAAAGTAGGATCTATTAAAGAAGAAGGTTATCCCCCTGCCTCGTAAATGTACAACATTTATACATACAAATACATACAATTTGTGAAAATTGCAGTTAAGATCTTCTCTACAATTGTTTCCTAAAATTCATTACGCAGGCCGGTTTGGATCCTCTGGCGGGCCGTTTGTTTGACACACCTGTTCTAGACAGAAGCACCCAGGTCCAAGTGAGTGCACCTTGAGTTTGATCCTGGGATACTTGTTCTGATCTGCTGAGCATTCATTCATGTCCAGTTATTAGCACGTGGAGATGGTTATGGCTGCTCATACCTTGTAGGAGTGGTAGTCAGAGTGGCGAACCACATGGTACATCCCGTGTGGTTTCGCAGAGCGTAGGGCACAAACGGCTGCCTCCTCTTGGACAGCTTCACATCAGCTGAAAGACAAAAGAAACCCATCAGCCTGGGTCAGGATTCAGTGCTGACTGAAGAAGAGTAAGGTCGACGCCAACAGCCATGCACTACTCTTCTTTAACTGTGAGATCAAGCAGACAAGACACAGGTGCATTGGAGTGCTTCCCTTTAAGGGCTCTCCACTTATTTTACACATAGGGATCAACTGAGGGTGCATTACACTAAGGATTAAACATCATCCTTCAAAAGGTATTGATTTATCAAAAGTAACATAACAATGTGCGACACGAAAGAAATGCCACTATCGTCAGATAATACGATAATCAAATGTACCAAAGCATTGTTCTCTACTACATCATAGACAATGCAACAATCTATCGAAATCAAACAAACTAATGCGCCCAAATGCAAAGTACATTTTCAAAATGGATCACAAGCATAGGCCATGCAGCGGAAAGCAAATGACAAGCTGTTCTGGCAAAACACAAATCAGAGGCCTATAAATTGTCTGAAGAGGTAGAGAGATGAGGCAGGCTATAATCAGAATATATATTGCTCCACTGCTGAGACCTGGTTCCAGCCTGCCTCCCGACACAGCGGCTGCTGTGGATGGTTGGAGCAGGACAGAAGCAAGGCTCCAGAGAGACAGCAGGAGGAACACTGTGTGTACATCACAAACGTTTAAGTGGAGGGCCAGTGTTTCCCTGGTGTTGGATTTTACACTTAAAGAGGCCAGCCGAATGATCTGCCCAGAGAACTCATGGAACAATCGGCTTCAGGAATGCTACTGTTTAGGTTCTCTTCTGCTTTTCCATGGTTTACTCATGGATCTCCTTTAGCAACCCTGTGTTGAAGAACAACAATAAATGGTCCTTCAATCCTTGAATATTGTTTAGAATAATGAGTAATTACTACCGTAACCATCAGCACCACTGAGTATACAGTGAAACAGCTGTGATGTGTAGTGGCAGCCACACACTGCTGAATAGAGTGTCCTCTACTTGGGGGGGCGGGGAGAGAGTCATGCCCCTTTCACACCAACGCGGTTCTAGCTCCGTGCTAGAGCTTTTCTGGTTCGGAACCAGTTTTTCTTTTCAGCCTCCGTTTTGTTCACACCGCCCAGAGCCCGACTGGTGCTGCCGCTGCTGCGTCATGACGTCACTGATTTTCTCCCCAACGGCGTTCACTACAACAACAATGGGGGACTGCGTCGGGTCGATGATCGTGTTACTTTTAATCACACGAAGCCAGATTAAATTAAATAACGACTTCTCCAACCTTATACTTTTTTTATACTTTTCTCCAGAGTGCATTAATAAACAATGAACCACGGTTCATTGTTTATTAATGTGTTTCTGCGGCATTTACCGACCGCTGCAGTGCTGCTCGTCGACCGGAGTTTATTCTCCCGTTAGCTCCGGGTTAGCTCACACGGCAGCGGCCGCTGTAAAGTATTCACTGTCTGACTCAGGGGCGGTTCTAGGGGGGGCCATTCCCAAACAATGAAAAGTTTTTTTTGTTTTTTTTAAATGTATATTTTCTGGTACTCGGTTTGCCAAAAACCGCAGGATTTTGTTGCTGTAATGTGAGATTGTGCAGACACCCTTATGTAAAGTAGAGATGTAACTGTTCATTGCCTTTATTTTTATATAAATATGGTGTTAGTGCAAACATTGCACTATAACTTAAGCTGAAGCTAACAGTAATAACTATAAGATCTATCTGAAATAAATAAGTGTACTGAAATAAATACCAATAACTGTATTGCATTGTTTTCTTATGCGCAATTACTTCATACTGTCTAGTTCTCTTTTTCGTCCTGCATTTATTGTGCCCCCCTCAGAAAATAACTGGCCCCCCCAGTCAAATTGGTCTAGAACCGCCACTGCCGACTCTGACTGTCACACGAGCAGCTGATACATATCCCCAATTCCCCATAAGTGAATGTGTGTCAGTCTGAATTGACGCTGTTTGGCATCACAACGCTGTTATGAAAGTTTCTCTGGCATAAAATGGGTGATGTTAGCATAGCAACCGAAGCTAAACTGACTATAACTTGACTACTTGTTGCTATCCTATTGTGGCATAAGCCGTTTTCTACAGGCACATTTTACCGGCGTATTTTTCATTATGATTCTACTTAGTAGTTCTAATCTAATCTAATTGTCGGACATGACAACCTGTGCAGCCCATGTTTTGATTCCATCCGATAGCTGCTATAATACAAAACGTCTGTCTGCTCTCCACAATGATCAATGACAGCGAATGGATGGTCAAAGTAAGGTAAAAATAAACAGAATCACACTAAACCTGGTTAGTGTTGCCTGACTTTATAAAGTGTTTTTTTTTATAAGTGTGTGGTTGCGTTCTAGTCACTTTGCTCAGCACTACTGCTTGTTACAACTTTCATTTGCCTTACTCGCCTTTAACTGTTAGCTCAGGTTAATCTCGCCCCCTCCGACGTAAGCGTGACGTATGCGGTTACTCTCTCTTACGTGTGAGACATATGAATATGTAGTGGGGTTTTCGGCTAGATATAGAATCAATTCCAGGGTCGCTGTAAACTGTTAGCGCCGTGTTATGCATGGCTGCTGCACCTCGCGGGAGCGCACACAGCGTAAAGCAAAAACTCGCAGACATTTCAATGATTTGTACGGCAAAGTTAGGTTTGGAAACGGTATCATTTCCTTTTTGGCGGGCATGCATAACACGGCATAACACCGGAGCCTCGCTGCGGGGAAACATTGGCGCAGTTCCGAGTTTGTTCTAATCTGTCAAAATGACGGACTGCTTTCAGATTTTTCCGTCGTTGTTAAAAAAAATCCGTCATAGATGGAAAATATTCGGTTAACGCGACCTCTGGTTCTGACATGTTGATTCAATGGAACCATTGGTACACATTTTAAATCATAATTTGCTTTCTTTAAATTTGAGGCATTTGTGTTTCCAACACTTTGTTTCAAAGTGAGTGCTTTAAAATACTTACATTTCTTTTTATGATGATGACTGATGTAAAACAATTTGCATCATATGCAAAGATAATGCCCTGGTTTATTTATATGTTTAGGCACTAGCAAATAATCCAAAATTACAGACAATATTCCCGCTCATTCTATCTTTTCATTTGGTAAATTGCCGCTAACCTGTGTTCACTTGGAGGCTGAAACATATAATAAAACTTTCCTTTGTAGGACCATTTTTTTTTTAAACCTATAAATGGCCACAGTTCAGACGGCGGGAAACAAGGGAGGAGAGCAACACAGGTCCAGGTGGGACTCCAAATGGAAAGCTGTATCATATTATAATGATCAAGGTTTTTTTGGTATATCAATATACCATGTAAATATTCCTCTATATTTTAATGTTATAATAGTTTTTTATAATGTAATTCTGATTTCTGAATTTTCTGTAGTGCATGGTCCTGTCCTAACTTCTAAACCCCAGGGTCTTCACATTCGACAGCATTTGCTGTCAGGAAACATTTGACCCGTGACTCCTTTTGATCGATCCACACTACAGATCTGTATTGCCTCATGTCACAGCAGCCATGGGGATGATGTCTGGATGAGAGCTTTGACAGTGAATGTGCTGCTGCCCGATGCTAAACTCTGAACTGTACCTCTGGAGAGAATCTGCTGCTCGAGGCAGGTCAGGGTGGCTGTGCTCCTAGTTCTAAGGTGAGCAAGAGGAGCACCTGATAGCAGAGAGAGAGAGTTACTGCACAACACACACATGCAGGGACACACACATCATCCCCATTCTGGAGCTGCAAATCAAGGTTCAGGTTTAAAAATAGTGCCATTCATGCTTCACCTCTTTTCTATTATCAATTGTGTGTTCAGCTTTAGGGCTGCCCCCTATTAGTCAACTAATCACTAGTCGACTAATAAAGTATTAATCGGGCAATTTTTCGTTCGTCTAAAAAATTATAATAATATAAAAAATAATATATATAAATATAAAAAATAAAGAAGCTTCATCCGCGCGCTGCATGTGCTATGACGCGTCAGCCTGAAACCCCCTCAGACTTCATTCAGAGCGGAGCCTGGTCATTAAGTTAATTTGGTCGGGCAGGAAATGCAAAGTATGGATCCTTCAGAGCGAGTAAAGGACGAGCAAACTACGATGGCAAAAAGTCTCTCCTCCCTATCCACACCATCCTGAACGCCGGCTTCATATCAAAACACGGAGCTTAATTATCCGACAACGTGTCTTTCTCAGACTCAGAGGAACAGCAGCAGTGAGTCAGGCAGTAGCCTAGCTTTGTATCAACATATATAGACCTATAATATATAATCATTCTGATCTCAGAAAACGATAGCGCTTTCATTTCATGATGAGGGCGTAATGCGGAGGGATTTTTGCCTACGCTTGTATTTTCAGTGTTTCCGTTTCTCTGTGGTATTTATTGGGTTGTTAACTTCAGATATGAATAATAGAAACTTAAACCAACTGTTCCGTGTGTGTCCTCGCTGCTTGTTCACACACACACACAATAAGAATCCTTACCAGAGCTTCTGCTCAGGCCCGTTTCTACGGGGGTGCATAAGGGTGCATTGCACCCTCAGTTGAGCCGTTATGCACCCTCATTTGAAAAATGAAAAGTGAAAAAAAATAATAATAATTAAAGTGAAAAATATTACATATATAATAACAATAATAATAATAATAGTAGTAATAATAATAATAATAATAATAATATAGTTGAAGTAAAATAAATTGTAATTGTGGTTAAATAACATTGTCTGCTGCATTTATTTGGTCAATTTAAACGGTAAGTAAAGTTATTATGTCAGGTGCGCGTGATCTGTGCCGCTGCACGTTCGCCATCTGCAAGGTGCTTACTGTACACAGCAGTCAATGATGGACATCAGAAAATTGCCCGGCTGCTCCGCCTTGCCCACGGAGGCGGAGCAGCCAGCAAAACAGAGCCTGCCAAGGTATATTTAAAAAAGTACCCAACTCGCCTGTACAGTGGGGTAAGGCGCTCATTTTGCAGCTCATGGTTTCAAAACAGAGATTGGCTGGAATATTCATGTAAAAAAGATGTTATCTTCTGCTATGCTTGTAGTGGAGCAGATAAGTGTGATTTTTTGGCAGAATCGTTCAAATGGTGATACAAGCATGACATTTGGTAGGAACGTTCCTTTAGGATCACTCTGCAAGAAAAAAGTGCTAGCCACGTGGATTTTCAACATGGCGGCCATTTTTTCCAAGATGGCCGCCAGGGTATGAAAAAAACAACTTTTAACCATAGAAATCGCCAGAGATGTCGGATTTATTTCATCTTGGTGTCGATTTATAGGTTTTTGACCTTGCTAGAGCTGATTCCTGAGTGTATTGATCGATTTCTTGAACCAATAAATCAATTTTAGGACTTGTGTAACAATAAAGAAGTCAAATGACAACTATTGTGCAGGCTTCGAATACAAGTAAATTGGTTCTCGTTATAGACGGGGAAGGTTAGAATTGCCCCTCCAAAGGACTGCTAATGCCGGGGTGGCAAAGAGGATGAGCTCTCTTTGCCTACTAAATGCCCCAAATGGCAAGCGAAACAAAGCCTCTGGCAGTCAAGCTCCAACCCTAGCCTTCTCGTGGCGGGGGTGTTTCCACAAATAGTGGTGGTGCGAAAGGCGAGTCTCTGGCGCCTGAAAACCAGACAGCTCTGGGCAGATGAAGCTCATTAGCCAGGTAAAGGCAATTCATCTAGGAGATGGAACACTCCGAAATAAAACCACTTGCGACCGAAATGCAGCCACAAGGATATATAGGACCCAGACATCACAGTGTAACCAGCGATGATGGTGGACACCAGCCAATATCAACTAAACACAGAAAAAGAGAGTGTATGTCATGCAATACCAGGGCACACTGGTGGCATACACTGCTGTGCAACTCAGCATGGGGTTCAATGTCAGCTAAACCGTGGGTTTAGTATCCAAAATGCTATCTAATGAACCCTTCAGATGTTAGATAGCCGCACCTGAACCGACAGGATGTGCCAGCGCGGGAGAGCCGAGCCAAGGATAACGGGGGTTTTACATGTAGTTATCCGGATGGTGTACAGATCGCACAGGATTTAAATGACATTGGATGAACGATCGGGCTAGGTGTAGGGCAAGTGCATGAACCTAGCTGTATCCCATACATCAATTTGCACTAACGCAAGGTGGTAAAAGGATGAACCCTCGACCTTGCCATTCTTAGTCACAAATTATGGATACTCAAGCAAAATCAAAACCACAAACAAACTGGACGAAATGTTGCCTCTGTCAGAATGATACAGAGGAAAAGTTAATGTCACCACTAAGTTCATTCCAAAGGGAACAGGACTATGCTGGTTATACCAACATTGCAAACAATGTGCCATTGTTTCATGCCATCAATGATATGCCGATTCCACTTAACCCAGCCAGACTAGATGAAGGTGGTGGTATAAAAGAAACACTGATGCGAAACAGAGCAAAATATCACCAAAGCTGTAGATTGTTGTTCAATAACACAAAGCTACAAAGGACACAGAAGAGAGCGACTGCAAGTACTTCTAAGTGCAGAGAAGAGAACCGCAGTAAGAGGCAAAGAACATCAGATCCACCAAAAGCGTCATCAGTATGCTTTTTGTGTGAAGAAGAGGCCGAAACATCAACTTTACGACAAGCAATGACAATGCAATTGAATGAAAGACTCAATGAGTGTGCCAGGACTCTGAATGATGGAAAGCTCCTCGCAAAGCTCAGTGCCGGCGATGCTGTTGCGCTGGAGTTGAAATATCATCCTGCTTGCCTTGTAGCTGTATACAATCGAGAACGAGCCCATCATAATTTGATTATGCAAGAGCAGAGCTGCAAAAAGCCAGGTAAAGAGTTATACCCCATTGCTTTTTCAGAACTTATCATCTACATCACTGACACCAGAGCTGCCACCGAGGGAACAGATCCAGTTATATTCAGGCTGGCAGATTTAGCTACACTGTACAAGCAGAGATTAGAGCAACTCGGTGTGGACTGTGAATGAGGCGAGGCTTGCTCTCTTTGCACGAAAGCAGAGGTCATATGATTTAATTCCACCAACACAAGGAGCACTCAAGGAACATGCCAAGCGAGCTGCATATGAAGCAGGACACATTTGGAGCCAGGCAATAGTCCGCCAGCCAGAGCCTCAGTGTCCGTCCGAGTGGGGTTGGTTCAAAGAAGATGACTCGTGGAAGCTCTTCTGGACTGCCCTTGCTCCCATAGCTAAAAGCTGCCAGGAGTTAACGAAATGTGGATGCAAGACACAATGTAGTGGAAGGTGCAAATGCTTCCGTTTCGGACTAAGTTGTACTCCACTATGCAGTTGTTTTTGTCAGACCTAGCTAGTCAGAACAATGAACATTGCAGGGCAGAAAAACATTGCAATAGAACTGGGACCGGTTCGTGTTATATTCACCCAAGGCGCATTACGAACGAAGTGCAGATTTTGTTGATGGCATGATACCCCTTGCCTATCAAATTGCCTTTAGGAAATACTAGAATTAAAAAAAATAATAACGGCAAATTTAAAGTGATAATTCAGCATCAATAACTGGAAGTGCTGAACAAAACAGAAAAAGACAATTTGGGTGAATCTAAACTCGTATATTAAAGTAATACTTTTGCACCTAAAGCCACATATGGCAGGTAAGGGGTTAATACCACATCATACATGTGTTTTGATATCATAATCGGTTTCGCCAGTGTTGAAAACATATAAATCGCCACCATGACCTACTGAATTGGACAGATCTATCCAAAGTTATCAGGAAATGTCACCTATGGGGTGGTCATCTGGCGGCCATCTTGGAAAATGGCCGCCATCTTGGAATTTCAAGTGGCAAGCACTTTTTTCTCATAAAGTGACATAAAATAAATATTCCTGCCAAGTTTCATGCTTGTATCATCATTTGAACGATTGACCTTGTTATCTGCTCCACTATTGTAGACATTTCGGTCTTGAAAGGGGAGTGATTTGTAAAATATCCTCATTCTGAGGCTCAGATCCAAGTGGGCTCCAACTGAAGAAGTACATCTTTAAACACACCTCACCAATAAATAGTTATTGTTTTAACAAATGTTACTCAAACTACAAATCTAAGGATTATTTGTGGCAACAGAGTGGTTTGTGGGGGATTAAGTCAAAATAAAGTAGAGTGTGTGTTTATGGTGATGAAGGAATGTGTCACCAGTAGGGCTGTGCATCTTCACTGGTCTCACGATTCGATTCGATATCCCGATGCATCACGATTCATACCAATGCGTTGCATCCTCAATTTTCTACATTACTGCACATGGCTTCTTTTTCATCAATGCATACATGCAGTAAGATAAATATGAACTCCCTTTTTATTATTTAGAAAGTGCTTCAGAAATCAATAACATAAATGTCTTGACATTAAATTATAAACCATAATTAATGAATTGTATAGGTCTAGCCTCCCTATATCTGTGTGTGAAATTGTTCCTTCCTCAAAAACAAAAAACTAATGCTTCTGCAGTCTAGCTGCAGCTTAGCAACGGTCTTCTGTTAAAGAAAGGACACTGAATGTCCTGAATGTGGCATCACACACATGACTTAAGTCTGAACACAGCAAACAACAGGAGTACAAATAAATGCACTAAAATACTGCATGTGGGTGCACACTTACATTCTCTGTGTTACTGTTACATAAATCCCATGGATGTATGAGACTAAGTTAGCTTCATCATATCTCAATCAGTGATTAAGTGAATAATAAAGTTTCTATCAGGTCACTATCATCCTGTCACTCATTGTTTTCAGGGAGGGGGCGGGGTTTGGAGGAACGGAGAGTATTTATCTTCTAAAAATAGCAAGAGGACATTCATACTCTGCAATCCAAGACTTGATTAAATCCACCAAAAACCTGACATTGATTGTAACGCGAGTATTTTTTAAAAACATAAATCCCTGTGTCTCTGAGCCGCAGCGACACGGAGTGATTCAGAGCGGGTCCTTCTGCTGTTGGTTCTGGACTGGTGTTCTTGTGTTGGTGGATAAAGCAGACTGCTCCGTGTTTGGTGTTGCTGTGCCGCTGTCACGTCTGTTTCCTGATCTCTGCGTCACCGACCGATTTGATATTCAAGTGACAGAAAAAAATACGTTATTGTAAAGCCGCGGCCGGAAAATCAGGAAGCTATATATATATATTACTACGCTATAATCGATTATGTTCGGTCACTGCATTGATGCAGAATCATCCACGTCTGCATCGCGATGCATCGTAGAAACGATTAATTTCAACACCCCAGTCACCAGGTGGCTTACTGATGTACTTTAACAATATTAAATATCTATGGCACAGCAGTCGAACACACATCAGGCTTTGATACACACACAGGCCACTTTGCTACCCTGTCAGAGTGGCAGGGTAGCTCTTCATAAATAATATATCTATAAAAGAGACAGTTTTTTATAAATAGCCATCAATGAAATCGGCTTCTTTAATTTGCAGTGATTTCTTGGCACTACAGTGTGTAGCTAGTACTCACTCTGTATAAAGCTAGGTGGGTCGACTGAGGAGCCCATCCAGGGCTGGGTGGGTGAAGACTGGGGGGTCTGTTCCTCCTCCTTACAGTAGTCAGCTATCCATGAGCTTTTGGTGGTGTTATATTGTTCTGAAAAGACAAAACAATCGTAATCATCAGAACCCCAGAAACCTCAGTCGTGCAGCCAGCTGTGAGCCAGCTGTGAGCCGGCTGTGAGCCAGCTGTGCAAGGTGTACAGAACCATGTTTCAGCTTTTACTCACCCAACAGGACAGAAGTGATGTTGACGTCCAGTCTCTGCTTGGCTCGAATTCCCATCTTAAAACGTGGAGGGTGGATACGGCCAGCGGCCTGCTGCTGCCAGGAGAGGAAGCAGGGCCAGGGCTCGATGAAGGGCTCCCAGCCTGACACACATGAATGAAAACACACACACACACACAAATTACTAATCTAATCCATGCTGAATGTTAACATGTTCATCCCCTGTACAATGTGCTTTGTGGGGAGGAGTTTGCCCTTTGACCTGTGTGGCGCATGCGCAGTATGGTGGAGTATGTGGAAGTTGTGGAGGATGTCGGTCAATTATGTGCGAGCTCAATAAAGCAGTAAAAGTATATAAACGTTGTGTTTATTCGATTTAACAGTGAATTCCAAAGAGATCAGTGGACCTTGTGTTACCACCCTACAGCTTTGAACTGAGATATGCTCTCTAATTCACTTCTAACATTTCCAATCTATGAATCCAATGCAGTTTGCTTATTGCTCATACATGTCACAATACTGTTACCTGGTTTAATCCCTCACTTTAATACACTGCCATTGAAATGGATGTCAACGCTACATTTTTTTGGTTCGACATAATTGAACATACGAGGAGATGAGCTCTATAAGATATGTTAAACATATCATGAAACAAAAAAAAAGAAACGCAAAGTAAATGTTATTACCTGACAATTCTCTGTTGAAGTAGTCTCCTGACAAAGTGAAGCTGGCGTTTCCTTCCTGAGTGGAACCAATGCGCTGCAGCACATAGAGCCCTGCAATAGAGAAAGACGAAACTTCATGTATACAATCATTTATTATCTACTAAATTATGTCATTTAGATAATAACAATCACAGTGTGTTGTGTGCCTTGTGGTGACTTTTAGCTAGTTTCTAAGGTCACCTATCATGCAAAATGCACTTTTTTATGTCTTTTATACATAAGTATGTGTCCCCGGTGTGTAAGGAGACTCACAAAGTGTCTGAAAATACAACCCTCTCTCTTTTCCTCCTTACCCACATCTCTAAAAATGGGGGTACAACGGAGCTGATCCAGATTTGCTAATAAAATGTGGGCTGGCTTTACATTTAACTCCTGGCAACGTCCCGCCCACTTCCCAACCTATCGTCCCCATACAGTATACAGTCGTCTAGCTGAATCCCCTCCCTCAGCTGTGTGTCTGTGTATTCAGCAGAATGTCTACAGGAGGGACTTAGAACAGTTACATGTATTATATATATATATATTAGGGCTGTCAGTCGATTAAAATAGTTAATCGCAAATTAATCGCACATTTTTGATCTGTTCTAAATGTACCTTAGAGGATTATTTTTCAAGTTTTTAATACTCTTATCAACATATGAGTGGACAAATATGCTTTATGCTAATGTTTATTATCATTTGAACAATGACAAATATTCTCATGAATATTAAACACAACAACCTCTGAACATTACAAATATTCGCCTCAATTCAACCTGGAACCTAATACAATAAAAATGGTGTGTGTGCGTGTGTGTGAATGTGTGTATGTGTGTGTGTGTGTGTGTGTGTGTGTGTGTGTGTGTGTGTGTGTGTGTGTGTGTGTGTGTGTGTGTGTGTGTGTGTGTGTGTGTGTGTGTGTGTGTGTGTGTGTGATGGATCGTTGGATCTATGTGCAGCTCAAGGCATGCTCGAACGGGAGCTGCCTGGACGCTGCAATCATGTTGCACTATCCGTGCTGAGTGTGCTGACTTTTCGTACAATGTCCCACTGTCTGGCTTCCTGCATGAAGTCAAGTGCTCGGCGCAGTTGTGGCGAAATGTCGCTCCTCTGTTTTCATTTAAACAGCTCCATATCCGTTAGCGCAGCTAGCTAGCACCAGATGCTAACAACAACAATGCACGTAAGGTCTCTCTCTCGCTCGCTCGGGCCACACATACACACACCCTCCCGGTCCTCCCAACAGCCAGTCGGTGCCTGCCGGTGAGCGTGGAAGTGTGGTCTGCCACAAGCGAGCGGCAGGAGCGGGGCTGTCAGCATCAGCTTGAAGATGGTATTTTAAACTCGATGCGCTCTGAAACTACGGGGCAGCCGAGGACAAAAAATACATATGCGTTAATCGCGTTAAAATAATTAGTGGCGTTAAAATTTTTTTGCGTTAACGCATTATTAATATATATATATATAACAACTTTACTCTATCAGTAAACACTGAATAAAGAATATGTCAAGCTATGTGCTGTCTCAGAAACAATGTGTGACGTGTTTTGGAAGTAATATGGTCTGTGTTTACATTAGCAAGCATCGCTAGCACTCAGAGCTAATGCTGTACTGGAGAGAATATGTGTAAAGAAGCAATGACACAAGCACACTTTTATTTCAGCACTTTAGTAACAGGGCTGAAATAGAGGGATATGAGGCATGCTACAATGGGTGATCTGTTTGGTATTTTGAGCAAAACAATTCAGAGACATGTTTTGTATAGATATGGCCCTATAATATATTGTTCAAATTTAGCATAAAATGTGAGCTTAAAATACTAACATGTACAGTCCTTTACGTCTTATTACGATAATTACCTCCACTGACATACACAGACAGTTTTTATTTGACTGAGAGTAGAGACCTGATGTGTGACTTACTGGAGAAGGTGAGCTCAGCCAGTGGTATGTCACAGTCCAGGCAGTCATCAATGAAGCAGATGCACACACTCTCAGCCTTCACCTCCACCCCCGACAGAGGAGCAGAGTGGCTGCTGGAGGCAGAGTTGGCCCGGGCTCTGGCATGGCCTGCCATGTTCTCAGCATTCTCTAACAACCACGTGGCAGCCTGGTCCAGCTGGCCTGAGGGACGAATAATTATGTCTTTATAAAGCGCTCATTCAATAATGATGAAGAGACTAGGATCTTCTGTCTGGTCACCAGCTGTGTGGAACGTGTTAAAGGTCTGACCCACCTTTACAGTGGATCAGGGCTCTTTTGCAATCCTCTTTCCTGAAGCCAAGGTCTTGTAAATGGGTCAGCTGGCCCGCTGTGTAGACAAAACAAAAATTCAGAAAGTAAAGCATTGTGCACATCACTGTTACTAAACATCAACATTGCCAACTTTAAAGCAAAAATTACATGAAAATTAACAATTTCATGCAATCCAATATAACTCAGTACTTGGTCCCTTTGGGGACTGAAAATCACTCATGACCTATGAGGGCCTCGGTCTTCTGCCTGAAGAGGTCCTTGGGTGTAGCTGCAGGCTCAGTGCTGCTTTCACAGTCAGAGGGCAGCGCAGAACTGGAGGTAGGGATGGACCTGGCGATTGCCAAGAAGAGCTGAATGTCGTTGTAGGAAAGACGAATGTCCAGAGTAGGAAACTGAATCTGCAACAGAAACAAAAAAACTGTTTAAGGGGCAATCCAGCCGCTTTACAAAGTCACTTCACTAGTGATGGGGAGCATAAGTCATCCTGCAGAACAGCTGTTTTATATCCTCTGTGTTTTGTTTTGTGGAGACTGAGAACATGATTCACCTGTTTGAGACATGTGGAAATCTGACAGGCAGGGATAGTCTAATGAAAGACACTGTTGCGTTGCATTATGGTAAATGTAGAATGGGCACATATTTATAACAACATTCAGGGTTCATACACTTTTTCACCAATGATTTTCAATGACTTTTCCATGACTTCTCAATGACCTTTACCTAATTTTCCATGACCAAAAAAAATTACCACTGAAAATGGTTTATTTGAACATGGAACAGGAAAATAAGGTCTGCAACATGTAGTGCCTATCTAAAACAAATCAAATAGTAGGCTTACTGTACTAGCTTCTACAGGCTAATGCAACTGTAGTCAGGGATGCAAAGTCATCAGGTATGAAAAAGATGACAAGGACCCGAGCCCCCGACCCCACGGAATATCGGCTTTAAAATGAGGAATAACAGAGGATTTTAGCAGTCAGAACAACTAAAGCAGCAGGTAATAATAACAGAAACGCTAAAGCGTCACATCTAATAGAAATATATAAAAGCATTTATTTTAATTGTGTAGCAGTCAGTTTATAATGTTGGCAGCACTGTTGAGCATTTTGAAAATGTATTGTCATGCCTCTGTGCAAGGCTTAGTCTTTCTATCTTTATGGCATCTGGTGTAAAGTAACAAAGTTCATAAACTCAACAAGTACTATACTTGGGTACAATTTTGAGATACTTGTACTTTATTTAAGTATTTCAATGTTTTGCTACTGTGTACTTCGACTCCTCTACAGTTCAGAGGTACATGGTGTACTTTTACTCCACTACATGTATTAATACCTTTAGTTACTTCACAGATGTGGATGAATGATGTGAAATATAATCAAGTGTTGAATCAGACTTTAGTTCCACCTGGAGTAAATCCACCAGCTACCCTGCAGTATACAAAGTCATTCAAACTAGCTGCACCTTTACCAGCTTTGAGAACACTTTCATGATCAATCATTATAAAACATAGCATATACTGTATATTACTCTGAACCCTGAACATTATGGAAATAAAATACTAACATACTTGGGTACTCTTTGAAAACCATGCAACGATTTAAAACGTACTGGTAAAAAGATGGTGTTAACAAATAAAGCTGATAGACATTTACAATGAGCTAGGAGTAAACATGTTGTGAAAGGAACAGTAAGGATTGTTCATACAAGTAGAAAGATGGAACACTTTGGATGTGTCAGATGGAGAGTTTGCTTTTGTGTCTTCAGTGACCATACTTTCCCACAGAAATGCTTACATGTCCCATCCATGCATCCATCCTTTAGTTTGAACTGTTATCTACAGGGTAAGAGCCTATCCCCATCAGACACTGGGAGAAGTTGTATTAACCATTGCACCATCAACAGTAACATCATTGTATAGCCAATTGTGGTTGTGTGCTATCCTGACCTCCAGCAGGGGAGGGATGTCCTCCACGTTGAAGGCGTCCAGTAGACCCGAGCTGCTCTGGTATGTGGGGCTCCCACACAGCTCCACCTGAATGTTGACTGGGTCGATAATGGACAGCGCTGTCTCCTGCTCACTGCCCAGCCGACACGAGAAAACCTGGGGGGGGGGACAGGACTCCTCAAGGTCAAAGCTTTACCTTGGGTTCTGAATAGTCAGTTAGTAATAATAGCCCTCATTGTCCTAATGAAGTGTTTACCTATCCCATATTACATACTAAAGTCACAATACCACTATGCACTGAACTCACCCAATCAAGGGTAGGAGTAGCATGGGGAGTGGTATGGCAGTAGCGGCAGTAACACAATCCATACTTAAAATGACTTATCTTGTGTAGAAATAATAATATTTGAAGTGGCAAGTTAAAGTTGTACATTTTAGCAGATCAATAACCGCACAGATTTCAGTTAATTCTTCATCTATTTAATTAAGTAGGGGATATTTTGATGATTGGTAGCAGGTAACACTAGCCGTCTCTCAGCAGGATGTTAGAATATTTAAAGGGTTAATATGATAGTTGGAGATCACCTCTATTCCTGCGAGGCTGCCAGAGAAGGGTCTGTCCAGCAGGCGGGGTTTGTATGTGAGGACGGTGGTGCCCTTCAGAATGATGGCGTTGGTATCCAGACAAGACGAGTCCTCCACAACCACAAACTCTGTGCCTGCAGAAACACACACCTGGTCAACTGAAGCTCCCATTCAGCTCAGAAACCAACTTATTGTATATACAGGGGTGCACCACATAACTGGTACGCAGGTAAGCATGCGGGGCAAACATTTGAATTGCGTAACGTCACTTGTGTCACTAAGCGTCTTTGCGTACCTGATAGCTCATCAAAACAAAACATATTTCGTTTACACATGTTTCTTGTGTCCTGCATTCAAAATGTTCCTCAAGTAAAAGTAGAAAAGTATTCTCATCAAAATATAGTTAAAGTAGCGACAGTAAAAGTAGTCGTTGTGCAGATTGGTCCATTTCAGAATAATATATATGATATGTTTTATAATGATTGATCATGAAAGTGTTCTCAAAGCTGGTGAAGGTGCAGCTAGTTTGAATGACTTTGTATACTGCAGGGTAGCTGGTGGATTTACTCCAGGTGGAGTAAATCATCTGTGAAGTAACTGAAGGTATTAAATACATGTAGTGGAGTCAAAGTACACCATGTACGTCTGAACTGTAGTGGAGTAGAAGTACACAGTAGCAAAACATAGAAATACTCAAGTAAAGTACAAGTATCTCAACATTGTACTTCAGTACAGTACTTGAATAAGTGTATTTAGTTACTTCCCACATCTGATATGACTTCAAGTCATGTGCTCATTTCTTAGTATTTGATCCTCCAACCTGGCCTCAGGAAATGCACAGCTTTGGCAACACGTTTTGGAGAAAGCAAATGGGAGGCTTAAACAGGGACAGGGAGCTGCATCTGCAGCATCTTCATCATCTAGCATGCAAGAAGAGGAACTAGAGGACAGTGAAGGAGACACTGAGGAGGACTGCACTTATTAACACCACGCTTCGTGTGGGGTGAGTACCAAACGCCGTCTCCTGGTACTCATCTGAGTAACTCACTAAAAAGCTTATGTGTATACATTTTTTTCAAAATGGCATTTAAATGATAAATAAAAAGACTAAAGCTGAGTGTTTAAATGTGCTTGAGCTCACTAGCTATCAAAGTGCTTTCTGAAATGTTCATTGAGGGTCCAGTGTGCTGCTGATTATCGTAGCTGAGGTGTGGCCACTGTACTGTAGTGAATGTACTGTACTCCTTATTTAATAACAAAAGTGCAATTTGAGTTCAATTTAAAAATTCAACATTGTTTTTTATCAAAAACATTATACACCCCACACAAAAAAAACCCTGTTGTATTGGTATTTATAAACCTAAAACATAATAAATGGGCAGATAAGAAGACATTCTTCTCTGACCTGTGACGTTGATCTTGACCTCCAGGCAGCGGTCCTGAGTGACGGGCACCGTGGACCTCTTGGTGACCACACCGCTCTTCACCGTCTTTGGCATGACGGCCCCGGTGGTGCTGATGGTGGCGGGGCTCGGGTCCGTGCTGGCGTCACCGGGCCGGCCCTGACCAGGCTCAGCAGCTCTTGGCACCTTCTCCACCGGCACCCGCAGGAAGTCTCTGACCAGCTGCAGCCAGTCGAAGATGAGAAACACTCTCAGGTTGTTCAGCACCACAGTGAAGCAGGAGGAGTCACGCGTGGATCTGCAGGAAAGTGGACCAACAACTTGTGACAAACGTTTAACCATCTAACACCGTCTGAAATCGGCTTCAAAATCTCATAGGGAGGCCTCAATGCGTTGAAGCTTTAACTGTTGCCATAGTGATCGACTGCCCAATCAGCTTTTGAATGCATCCGTTTCTTTTTGTTTTGTGGCGACAGCAGGGCGTTAGCTGGTGATAGAAAGCTCAGCTGATTCAATTCAATTCAAGGCTTTATTGTCGTGTGCACATTAGCTCCAGTGTAGATATGGCAATGAAAAACATAGCTCACAGGCTCCTCCAACAGTGCAACATATATATAGGACACAGAACAAATAAAACAGATAAAATAGTGCAAGTAAATACAAATACAATTGAAATAGTGACAGAGGGGACTATATACAAGTAAATGGAATATGATATATTAGATACATAATTTGCAAGATGCAAACAGATGAATATTTATGGATGTTCTTTAAAAGTTCAGGTGTTTAATAGTCTTATGGCCTGTGGGATGATGCTGCGGTACTGCCACACGGCAGCAGACAGAACAGTTTGCTGCTGGGGTGATGGGGGTCTTTGATAATCCTGAGGGCTTTCTTCCTGAGCCGCTGAGATTAGAGGTCCTCCATGGATGGCAGCTCCGTCCTGGTGATGTTCTCTACAGTTTTCACCACCCTCTATAAAGCCTTACGGTTGAGGGCGGTGCAGCTGCCGTACCAGGTCGTGATGCAGCCAGACAGGATCCTCTCTATTGGGCACCTGTATTAGGTCAGGATGCTCTCTATGGTGCACCTGTAGAAGGTCAGGATACTCTCTATGGTGCACCTGTAGAAGGTCAGGATCCTCTCTATGGAGCACCTGTAGAAGGTCAGGATGCTCTCTATGGTGCACCTGTAGAAGGTCAGGATACTCTCTATGGTGCACCTGTAGAAGGTCAGGATCCTCTCTATGGAGCACCTGTAGAAGGTCAGGATGCTCTCTATGGAGCACCTGTAGAAGGTCAGGATCCTCTCTATGGAGCACCTGTAGAAGGTCAGGATGCTCTCTATGGTGCACCTGTAGAAGGTCAGGATCCTCTCTATGGAGCACCTGTAGAAGGTCAGGATGCTCTCTATGGAGCACCTGTAGAAGGTCAGGATCCTCTCTATGGAGCACCTGTAGAAGGTCAGGATGCTCTCTATGGTGCACCTGTAGAAGGTCAGGATCCTCTCTATGGTGCACCTGTAGAGGGTCAGGATGCTCTCTATGGTGCACCTGTAGAAGGTCAGGATGCTCTCTATGGTGCACCTGTAGAAGGTCAGGATCCTCTCTATGGAGCACCTGTAGAAGGTCAGGATGCTCTCTATGGTGCACCTGTAGGTCAGGATGCTCTCTATGGTGCACCAGTAGAAGGTCAGGATGCTCTCTATGGTGCACCTGTAGGTCAGGATGCTCTCTATGGTGCACCAGTAGAAGGTCAGGATCCTCTCTATGGTGCACCTATAGAAGGTCAGGATCCTCTCTATGGTGCACCAGTAGAAGGTCAGGATCCTCTCTATGGAGCACCTGTAGGTCAGGATGCTCTCTATGGTGCACCTGTAGAAGGTCAGGATGCTCTCTATGGTGCACCTGTAGAAGGTCAGGATCCTCTCTATGGTGCACCAGTAGAAGGTCAGGATGCTCTCTATGGTGCACCTGTAGGTCAGGATGCTCTCTATGGAGCACCTGTAGAAGGTCAGGATGCTCTATATGGTGCACCTGTAGAAGGTCAGGATGCTCTCTATGGTGTACCTGTTGAAGGTCAGGATCCTCTCTATGGTGCACCTGTAGAAGGTCAGGATGCTCTCTATGGTGCACCTGTTGAAGGTCAGGATCCTCTCTATGGTGCACCTGTAGAAGGTCAGGATGCTCTCTATGGAGCACCTGTAGAAGGTCAGGATCCTCTCTATGGTGCACTTGTAGAAGGTCAGGATCCTCTCTATGGTGCACCTGTAGAAGGTCAGGATGCTCTCTATGGTGCACCTGTAGAAGTTGCAGAGTATCCTGGAGTCCATGTTGAACCTCCTCAGCCTGCGGAGGAAGAAGAGCCGCTGTCGAGCTGTTTTGGTGATGGTGTTAGTGTGATGAGTCCATGTCAGGTCCTCAGTGATGTGGACCCCGAGGAACCTGAAGCTGCTGATTCTCTCCACCGCAGTCCCATTGATGGTGATGAGGGCCTGGCCCTCTCTCTGCTGCTTCCTGTAATCCACAATCAGCTCCTTGGTTTTGCTGACGTTGAGATGGAGGTTGTTATCCTTGCACCAAGATGTCAGGGTCTCGACCTCCTCTCTGTACGCCGTCTCGTCGCCGTCGGTGATCAGGCCGATGGCGGTTGCGTCGTCAGCAAACTTCACGATGGTGTTGGAGCTGTGTGTGGCCACGCAGTCGTGTGTGAACAGGGAGTAGAGGAGAGGGCTGAGCACGCAGCCTTGAGGGGCTCCGGTGTTGAGGATGCACTGCCTGGGGTCTGCCCGTCAGGATGGTCAGGATCTAATCACTGAGGGCACTGTTGAGCCCGAGGTCTCTGAGCTTGATGACCAGCTTGGAGGGCACAATGGTGTTGAATGCTGAACTGTAATCAATGAACAGCATTCATACATATGTGTTCCTCTGCTCCAGGTGTGAGAGGGCAGTGTGGATGGTGAGGGCTATGGCTTCGTCTGTGGACCGGTTTGCTCTGTAGGCAAACTGCAGGGGGTCCAGAGAGTCAGGGAGGAGGTGATGAATGATTTGACTAACCGCTCAAAGCACTTCATGATGATGGAGGTGAGTGCCACTGGGCGGTATTCGTTGAGGCTGGTGGTTTTAGACTTTTTTAGGGACTGGAACGATGGTGGAGTGTTTGAAACATGTGGGGACTACAGACTGCACCTGTTGAAGATGTCCACGTCCGTGTGTGTGTTGATGTTGTCATCCTCAAACACACACAACTCCGTAGTTTCAAGCAGTGCTGCAGAGCTGATTCTGACTCCAGCGCTGTATACTCCATGTCACCGGCCTGTCCCGTTTCAGTTTCTGCCTGTAAGCAGGCAGCAGCAGGAGTGAGATGTAGTCTGATTTGATTCTGAGCTTTATATCCATGTCAGAAAGGGGAATAAACATGGTCCACTGTATTTCCGCTGCGCGGGCAGCTGATGTGTTTGACACTGAAAGCCGCCTCGGCGGAACATACACTGCTGTAAGCACAACCGATGTAAATTCCCTCGGCAAATGGAAAGGCTGGCATCCGATCATGAGGTGTTCTAAATGAGGAGAACAGTCCGAAGAAATAATCCCCACATCTGTGCACCAGTTATTGTTCACCATAAAGCACACACCTCCCTTACTATTCCCTGAGATTATAGTCGTAGGTACGTAGACGTAGGGATCCTACAATTTCAGAGGTGTTTTTGTAGAAATACTATGTCCCAAGTTGTGGACCAACGTAGTTATTACAAGTGACACGTGTCACGTATTACAATGTGAGACTGGGTTGGGTAAACACTCTCGACTGCTGAATGGTCAGAGAGAATCACTGGCAATGGGGGCTACAACTACAACAAAATGAACGTATTTTACCGTGATTTAATTGTAATACACGTTTGATGTATGAAGTAACAACATACTGATACCGGTCTGCAAACAAGACTGCAGGCGAAAAATCTTTTAAAATGCGTGTTTTTCTGAATGGAGATCGGATCGATCAGGCTAAGCTAACGTTGTATATGCTCCGTCCACACTCACAACAATGGCCTACAGACATAAATAAACCAGCGACTCGCCATGACACAGACAGTCTGTGGTTTGTACATGTTTAACTTTTGTCTAGTTTCTGAACAGATATGAGGAGCTGTGAGCTCTGAGTGCTAACAGCTAACGGCTGATGTTTTGGTTTTGTGGTTCACGGCAGTTTTACGCAGCGTCGCTCCGCCCGCCGAACAGCCGATCGCCCCGCCTCACTGTGTTACTATAGTAACTACCCCAGTTACTAAACTGTAATGGAAACGCAACTTAAAGTGAGCCTGGCCTACCAAGGCCAAACTAAGCTGTGCTAAGCCGTGCTAGGTCCTGCAGTGGAAAAGCGCCATTAGACACATTTGGCTTAATACTTTTGATATTTCTATAAGCTTCGAAGCTCAAAAAGTTTGACACAGCCCTACCTGTAATGCAGCTCCAGCTGCAGTGTGGCCCGATTGGTGCCGGTTTTGGAGGGCTGCAGGATGCAGTCAAACACATTGTGCCGTCCCCCTGCGGCCCGCCCTGGGCTTTTGTTGGGCCCTTTACAGCGAGTGTCATATGCCAGCAGTGAGTGAGACACCAGGTTAACAGACTTGGATCCATTGGAGAAACTCTCAAAGAGTAGCTTCGATTTCATGAAGTCAAACCTTTGTAAGAGAGAAACAAAGATAATATTAAGATGGCATCTCTTTAAACCTTTTTAAAAACGTTCAACTATGATGCAGAAATTCAGTCTACTGGGTTGAGATGTTCTAGCTTAAAGCTGTGAGAGATGATAATCTTCAAATTGTATCTGTGTTTGCTAAAGACCAGCAGCTAGCATTAGCCTCAGTCCGAGTAGGAGTTTCAAATACTTTTGAAATGTTTGGTCACAGACAGAGATCGTCCCAACACTGTGGGCCATGGTACTGTCAATATGACCTCGTGAATTTATAATGGTGTTGGGCTGAAGTCATTCTTGCATAATCTGTATCAAATAGAAATGTCTATGCTAAGCTAGCATGTGAATTTACGTGAGGAAAGTCAGCGGCTTTATGGGACCTCAGATTCATTCCAATGTACATCACAAGTATACCCATTTATTAACTTGAAACGATGCAAATCTAAATTGATACAGGGCTGTAAGAAGAGGAAAAGGCCCACCTTGCTAATGAGCGTTCATCTTCTGTGTGTGTTGGGCTGTCCAAGAGCTCCAAACTGACATCCATCATGTCAACCAAGAAAGACATGCTGGTATAGACATCTCCACTTAACACCGTCTAAAGAGAGATACAGTCAGCTCCACAACAACGACATTTAGAGGACTCAAATCAGTCAAGAAATTGAATGTTAAAACCATCCTTAAAGCTCACATTTTATGCTAAATTTGAACAATATATTATAGGGCCATATCTATACAAAACATGTCTCTGAAGTGTTCTGCTCAAAATACCAAACAGATCACCCATTGTAGCATGCCTCATACCCGTCTATTTCAGCCCTGTCACTAAAGTGCTGATTCTGGGTCTGGCCCTTTAAATGTAACCGAGCTGCTGCTGGCAACGCACCTTTGGATCGTCCGCATGCAAGGAGTGAGCTCTGTGAAGAGAAGGCTGTCTACCAGCAGAAACTCAGCTACATGCTGCCGTGATTATATGTATTATATATATATATATATAACAACTTTATTCTAAGTCCCTCTAAGTTGCGGGACGTTACCAGGAGTTCAATGTAAAGCCAGCCCACATTTTAGTAATGACGTCAAGTTCTCAGCAAATCTGGATCAGCTCCGTTGTACAATGTTTTCAGATTGGCAGTGTTTGCATCAGAGATGTGGACATGTTATACAGACTGCAGTCAGCTGTGTGTGTGGTTGCCTGCACTCTCACATAGCTGCTGGGGTCCTGTAAGTTGTAGGGCCGCAGGAAATCCTCGAAAGGCTCTCCCAGGTTGTTCTCCAGCAGGCCTCGGATCAGCTGGTAGTGCTCTAGGTCCAGAGAGCAGTGTACTGACGACAGGCAGCCGTGGATAGACATGTCAGGAACTGCATGGCTCAACTCCCTGACCACATAAGGGAACACAAGCAGGAGTTTACATAACAAGCCTCCTATACAGGCTCTGGGTACACTCAAACCTAATGCTTTCTTACAGAGAAAAGCTATGTCTCATAGAAAAACAGAAACATAAACCATCTCCGGGCCCTGTGCAAAACGCTCAAGTTAATCGAAGTAAGGGTGACTCCAGACCAGAGACAAAAAATGCCACTCAACACAGGCTTGTGTCTCGCAGTTGTTATAGGACTCTTAGGCCATCTTAGGCTTATTGGTCTATGTGTGCTGCATAAAGAATAAGGAAACTATTCAAAATAGTGCAAGACGTGACAGATTAGTGAACCGCAGGTTGTTTTGACCTTTGGAATAACAGGTGCAAGATGCTACATTTGAGCTGTCGCTACTTGTAACGTTATAGAGTGCAGCGTCTTCTTCTTTCAGCCAAGCACACAAACCTAAATTCCCACTCACTGATTATTTCTAATAAAAAAGGAGAGGAGATGATAAACAATTATTTACATTCAAATCCTTATATTTTGCTAATCTCAAACTCTAGATTAGAATTGGTGTGTGAAAAATACTGTTGGTAGGATTTCTTTAAACAGTGATAACACCATGTCAAAAAATAATAAAACGGACAGATAATCGAGACTATTTTCCAGAACCAGAGCCCTCAAAATTATTTCATTGTAAAAGATATATAACTTTTGCCACCAATAAGACAATAAGCAGGACATACTTGTCCAGGTTGCGCTCTACTTTCAGCTCCAGTCGGCAGCAGTTCTTCAGCAGGTTCTCGCCAGTGCGACGGACAGAGTAGGAAGGAAAGATGAGGTCTGAGGATTCGGGAGGTTTACCACAGGGCAGACGCTCTGCGGCGAAGATATCTACCTCCTGCAGGTCCAGGGCGATGCAGTCCAGCAGGCACACATGCTCTTCTAACGGGGGAAACACAGCAGATACTTCAGAGACTTTCAGAGGCTCTCAGTTCCACTTCTTACATTAGGTGCTTTTACATTCACTGTATGCTTTGCTATAAATATGCAGCAATGCTAACCTAAAATGTGAGGTTCATCCCGCCCCCATGTGTCTGGGACCTGTGGCCTGCCTAGGGTAAACCCTTTGGAGCTGGAAGGGGGGGTCCTGGGCTTTTCCGGCTCACTATTCCTCCCCGCCGCTCTCACTCGCTCCTGTTTCAAGAGAATAGAACAGAAATGACAAACATTTCACTTTAAAACCAAGCATCATGATCATTATGTACACTCAAAAGCAGCTGATCCTGTTTTAAAAGGTGCTAAGAAAAACAAATTAACATAAAATACAGTCATTTACCATGTTTTAAATAGATACTAATGTTTTGGTTTCTACGTTGGTTTTATTATTGGAAAGACATTACAAATGGCTCTTTACCTGAAAACATTTGAAAGGTATTAACACAGTGACGGATCTGTGTATCTGTCATTGTTCATCATGTCAAGAAATCACTGCATTCCCCTTCAAACAAAACAACAAAAACGTACAGACACCAGTGTTTCCCCTATATACAAATAGTGGCGGCGCTGCGCCGCTGCTGAAATATGTGCGCCGCTGCTAGGGGCGCCAGCCAGGTACCAAAAAAAAAAAAATGTTTTTTTTTTAATCAATAATAATAAGTGCCTACCCTTTTTGATTTTTGATTGTTTGTTATGTGGATTTGTAGTATTTGTGTTACTGTATGTTCAGGTGTATTTTGCTAAATCTTGAGACATTGCCACTGTATGTAATAGGCAGGCCATCGGGAGGACCGGGAGGTTTCCCGATGGCCTGGCCTGTTAAGTGGCCTGCCGATTTCTTTTAACTTAGCCTATGTATTGTGAACGCAACGCTGCGCAAATGTGGGTTTGCCTCACACAGGGTGACTGTCTGTCTACATCAGGGGTACTCAAACTTTTTTGTTAAAGGTCTACTTGTGAATTTTATACAAGGTCAATGGTCCGGATCAATGCCAGTAAAGTAAAAAAAACTCTCTTTTCCTCCGTACCCAAATATTTTAAAAACAGGGGTATAACGAGCGGATACAGATTTGCTGCCGATCTGACGTCAAATCGGCGGCGGACCCACAAAAAGTTGCTATCAGAAACAATGCCTTACGTGTTTTGGACGTAATCTCGTCTTTGTTCACATTAGCAAGCCTCGCTAACACTCAGAGCTAACCTGTACTGTAGAGGACATGTGTTTAAAAAGCAGGAAATAAAAAAAGGAACTCACCTTGTGATAAACCCGCAAGAGAAAAAGCATTTGAGCTCCATACTGTTTCAGAAATAATCTTTGATGTGGTTTAGAACAGGATGGCGTTTTATCACAGCAGAATTTAACTTTATCTCCGGTAGAATTCTGATCAGGCATTAGCTCCGCCTCCTCTTTTTTTTTTTTTTAAAGCTAAGGACCTAACATCCGCGTTTCTCTAACAGGGCTGCAAAAGAGGGGTATGAGCAGTATGAGGCATGGCTACAATGGGTGATCTGTTTTGTATTTTAAGCAAAAAACTTCACAGACATGCTTTGCATAGGTATGGCCCTACAATATATTTTTCCAAAATAGCATGATAGGTCCACTTTAATTTACATTTTTTATAATGGGACACAGGGTTCGGTCCGGATTGATTTGCAGTTCGGTCCGGATCCGGACCGTGGTCCGGAGTTTGAGAAGCCCTGGTCTACGTGATGTGGCCTGCCGACATGGCCACTTCCATACCGATCATAAATCAAAGCCCTCGATTGGTCTCTGTGTTTCATTCAAGCTCGGGAGGGTGTGTGTATGTAAGGAGAGGGAGAGAGAGAGAGAGAGTTTGTTTTGAGTAGCTGCATCAGAAATGAGCTCCTGAACAAAAAAAAATCGAAATTGTACCTAAAAAGTGAGACATTTTGTTGGAAAATCTGCAATTATTCTTCAGAATTAACTCCAAAGAAGAGTTACCGACATTGATCGACAGAAAACAGAGGAAGAAACGCAATTTTTTGATGTATTTTTTAGTTGAAACTACTAACTAGCTTTCAACTACCAACTGACAACTGTCAACCGTTTAGCTGTGGGCTGCCAGCTGTTACCTGCCACTGTTGGAAGGAGCTGCACCAAAGAAGGTAGCGGAACATTATAAACTGTGAATTATTTCATGAAGATAAGAAGAAAGGAAAAGAAAAGTATTCGTAAGCTAGAAAAGCTAATTAATTAGCCTAGGCTCTCTTTGGAACAAAACAAGTGGTCGCCATGGAAACTGTCCAGCAGGCAAAAAAGAACTTCTCAGCTCTCAGAGCAGAGGGAAGAGAGATTGAATATCCTGCTAAATGCAAGAGTGTAAATGCGAAGGACAAACACAAGGAGAAGACACTGTGTGCAAACCCAGAGGTTCACTGACTATGCCCAACAAAAAGAAGGAAGGAAGAAGAACAACCTCATATTCTTCACTGACTCCATCTACATCTGGAAAGATACTCTGTGCAGGAAGTATGCATACGTATCCAGAGAGGGCATCGGCTCAGGAGGCAGATTAAAAATCTGTAAAGATGAACACCTTGACAAAGATGACCCTCTGCTCACCATCACATACTACACTAAAGGAAAGGTCATGGTCCAAGGGAATGAAGCCAACCTGGAGTCCTTCCAAGAGGCATTCCCCCTGCTGAAAGCTGAGGTGGACACAAAGAGGATCAATGTCCGCTCTGATGTCCCCTCTGATGTCCCCTCTGATGTCCCCTCTGATGTCCCCTCTGATGTCCCCTCTGATGTCGAAGGTGATGAGAGCCCAATAGAGAACCCCAACACCTTGTCTATCTCTGCCCCTCCCACACCGGCCAGCTCCAACAATCGGCTGAAGGAGAGTATGGCCCTGCTGGAGCTGGACTTTGCAGAATTCAAAGAGCGGACCCAGGCCAGGCAGTCTGGTCCCCCAGACAACACTCTGCAGCAGCTTAAAGAGGACCTCCAGCAGCTCAAGAGCGACAACGAGGCCTTGGCATCTGACCTCAGAGGAAGTGTAGAGGCACTCAAACAGGAGAACAGTGTGCTCCTGTGTTCAGTTAGCCAAGGTGAGGGAGGATGCTGAGTGTAGAGAGAAGAGCTTCACCAGGCAGGTCCAGCACCTGACAGAGAAACTCTCATCAGTCCTCACAATGACGAGTAGAGAGACACAGACTCTCCCTGCCAGTGTCCCTGGCCCACCCTCTCTGCTCAGCACCCAGCCTAACAACACCCTGGCCCCTCCTGATACACCCACACAGCCAGCTGCCCACAGCCAGCTCTGCCCATCCCAGCCTCCCTCTACTCAGCCTGAAGAACAAGACCCACAAGTGGTCCTGCTGGCTGACTCAAACGGGAAGTTCCTGGAACCAAGAAAGCTTGTTCCTGATGAAAAGGTGCTGTCTAAACACTGCAGCACCACAGGCCAGGCCATGAAGCTGTTGAAAAAGGAGACCCTCAGGAGCCCTCAGTACCTGGTGATCCACACGGGAACAAATGACCTGCACACCCTCCGTAGGGACACTGCTGAGGCAGTGAGGAAAATGGCGGAGCAGGCCAGTAAGGAATTCCCCGACACCCGCATTGTGGTCTCCACCCTGCTGCCTAGGACAGACACCCCTCCTCATGTCATCCATGACATTAATATGGAGATCAGAAAAGGATGTGCCACCTTACCAAATGTCCACCTGGCCCTCCACTCAACCATTGGCCCCTGGGACCTCTATGATGGACTCCACCTACACAGAGAGAGGGTGGGGATATTTGTAAAGATCCTCAAAGATGCAGCCCTGGGACGCAGTCCTCCCACCCCCTCCTCTAGAGGCCCTATAGACCCTCCCAGACCGCTTCCTCCCCATCACCACCCCAGGATCACCACCCCTGCTGTGAGGAGACACAACAGCTCAGCCTGGACCTCCCACTCCTCACGCCCCCAACACACCCAGAGGAGGCTACTTTCACCCAGCTCACCCCCTGCACAACATCAGCAGCAGAGATATGCAGCACCAGCTGCTCCTCGTCTCCCTCCCCGCCTACAGCAGCGGAGCTATGCTGCAGTTGTAGCCCAGCCTGCTGCACCCTCCCTCCCCCTGCTACCTCTGAACTGGGAGACATCAGGATGATGCTGCACACCCTGTGCACCCGACTTCTGTCCAGCTAAGACATTACATGTATATGTTATCGTAGTAATCAGTACAATAGTAATATTGTAATATATAATATTTTTTTTTTCTTCATATATTTGTCTCACTATACAGATTCATTTTGATTGTTTTTGAAAAAAAGATGCGTTCTTTTCATATAAGCTGTTGGAATATTCAGGGCCTCCACTCCTCAACCTTTGAGGTCAAGAGTGAGAATCCAGAGTTCTTAGAATCTATCAAGATGTTGATCCAACTATATGAACAGAAACATGGTGATCTGCTCACTCACTGTCCTCCAGGTTATAATGAAGTCATGCTGCCCTCTGTAAAATCAAAAAACATACGCAAGGGCAGAACATCAGGGGGGATCTTGGTGTGGTATAAAGGAGATCTTTGCCGTCAGATCTCAGTAGTAAAACAAGGTAAATCACACATTTGGCTAAGGTTAGATCAAACCCTGGGCATAACTAACAGGAATCTATACGTGTGTGCTATTTATATACCCCCAGTAGATTCTCCTTATTTTCAAGAAGACATTTTTGAAACTCTCCACTCAGAAATAGCCTATTTTCAGGCCCAGGGAAATGTGCTTCTAACTGGAGATCTGAACGGACGAACAGGAATTGAACCTGATGTCATAGACCCACAGGGCAGCCACCATGTATTTGGTGAACCCCCCCTGTTTACCACACCAACCGTCAGCCATCGGAACAGCCTCGACTCTGAAATCAATCAGAATGGCAAAGAGATAGTGCATCTCTGTCGGGCCTTAGGCCTGTACATAGTGAACGGGAGGTTCAGAGGGGACTCTTTAGGGAGATTCACATACTCCTCAGCTCTAGGGTCTAGTGTAGTAGACTATGCAATCACTGACATGGACCCCTCCACTATCAGTGCATTCACTGTCAGACAGCAATCCCCCTTTTCAGACCACAACCAAATCAATGTGTTCTTTAAACTCTCAGGTCCAATGAGTGACACAACAAGGGAACCCAGTAAGCTGCATTACATCCTACTTACAGGTGGGCCCCAGACAGTGGAGACAAATTCAC